ACCATCGATCGATCAGAATTGAATACCATCACAATTCACAAGTACTATACGTTCTTCATCATCTTGTCATGCATGTATGACTCACTTTAGAGTTAGGATTTGGCCAACCAAAATCTTAAGTACTCGTAATATTTAAGTCACACTAAATAATTAATTATTAGTTGGCAGCAGCACCAAATTAAGCTAGCTTCAGATCAGAGTGATCGATATGAGGCGTACGTGTGAGATGAGTTGCCATGTTTGACTAATCAAATTAAACCCTCAATTAAGTCCATGTCACTAGCTATTACGTGCGTGTTTATCTCTTCACCTCCAATGCAAGCTAATTAAGCTAGCTATCTGCTGGTCGTTGCTAATCCCTTCTTTCTATAAAGTTAAGGCTAAAAGCTTAAACCTCGTGCTTCCACGTCATCATCAAATTATAAACCATTGGATGAATGTATTAGATTGCTTCTCAGACGTTGGATAGAATACAGCCTAGAGCCTAACCCATCAGTCACCGGGTGAGTCTCTTCGTCTCCTCAGTGCCAAATGTAGCCCACATAAACATATTGGCCATCTCCACACACATCTACATGTATCCAGCCGTCAATCCGTATAAAAAAGCTTTATGGCTGAACGCTCATTCAATTGACATGTGCTACCTAAATTATCTACAAATTTTGATAAAGCTGCTAAAAAGAATTTCTCCAAGAAAGCTATTTGTTTCTTCTGTTTCTTCTTGAGATTATACCTTTTATCTAATAAATTGATGTTAACCAAGTCCCGCAGCAACACGCGGGTCATCTTCTAGTATATATAAGTAGTTAACCCATAAGCTGCATATACCATCATTTTTAGTGAAAAAATATGTATATAACCATTTAGTTAACCAGTGACGGAGCCAACGACACCGTCAAGCCCGAATGACGACTGAACGGTGATTCATAGTATGATCGACCAATTTTGATGAATGTTAATGATGGTCGATCGATAGTGGAGGTGGTAGTGGCGGAGCCTAGGCAGCCATCTCAGTTGCTCAGAAGCTGCCTCCACCACTGTATATAATATTGAAATGTTTTCATGGAAAAAATTGATATAACATATCCATTAAATAGCTCAAATTAATTAATTGTGTACATATGCACACAATATCAATAAATAATTGTGTACATATACACACAATATCAATAAACAAGGCAATTATAATTGAGATGGATCGTTGACCAGCTATCATATAGATAGCTAACCCTTGCCCTAGTACGTACATGTAGCATAGATGATTAATTAGTAGATGATATGTCATGCATGTGTGTCCCCTGCTAAGATAAGTTAAGCTTGCTTAGCTAGCAACTTGGGCTAGCTCCCCAACTACTTATTATGCTGATGACGATCGATATATGTATATATCTCTTTTAGGGACCTATCACGGCCTGAATATGCCAACTAATTAACATTTGCAAACAAAATCCACCTAAGGTCATATTAGTTAGTTAATTAACAAATTAATAGCCGGCCGGAGAATATTTTTAAAATAGGCTGCACAGATACATAAAAAAAGAATTAAAGAAAGGCACCGGAGACACAGGTAGCTAAAGTATACTTGTAACATGCATGATCGATGTCATAGAATATCACGAGTGGATCTAGAGAAATCATCTATCACCAAACTAAACCACATAGAAACAATCTGCCTTCACATTGTTTACCCAATAACACCTAAATAGAACCTATAATTGTAGAAATATAAATGATGTAGTTTTATAAGAGAAAATAGATAATAGTAGTAGTAGTAGTAATCCAAATGCTAAAGAATAATATAAGGTGAACCTCTGACACTGGAAATATAGATGATGTAGTTTCATAAGAGAAAACTAATAAAAGATCAGATCCAAATGCTAAAAATAATTTGAGGTGATTGTGGCAAAAAAAAACTATATGATATGTATGTGCGCGACTTCATAAGAGAAGAAAGGCAATTCACACTATAGATAAATGACTAAAATGTTAAAAACAATTAAGATGATGTAAGGTAATAGTAACTACATTAAGCAATGTGGATTAACTTTATAATTATATAGCTTAACTAACAAGAGTTGATCCATTCACATCCATCGTACCCCTCCGTTTCATATTACAAGTTGTTTTAACCTTTTTCTAGTATAATACCTTTAAGTTTGACTAATTTTATAAAATAATTAGCAACATCTACAATACCAAATTAGTTTTATTAAATATAATAACATTGAGTATATTTTGATAATATGTTTGTTTTATGTTAAAAGCACTACTATATTTTTCTATACACTTGATCAAACTTTAAAAAGGTTTGATTAGAAAACAAAGCAAAACGTTTTATAATATAAAACATAGTGACAAGTTAAGAATTCAGTCAAAGGGTATATTACAAGCTGAAAGTAGAAATCATATCAATCGGTAGAATCATCGAAATTAATAACCATATATATTAAACTATCCGCGGAAAAAAGTCTTTGAAGAAAAAAAAATCATCCATGAACTAGAGCTGCCAATAATTGTATGGTACTCATATCCATGTTCATCGATGAACCCTGAGCTAAGTATAATATTAAGCCAACCAGGTCAGTCCACATGCGAGCTTAAATGGTGGCTAATTAAGCATGCATAAATATATCCTTGTACTATATGATATGCACATGCATGTATGTTGCTAGCTAGCTAGTTTTCCTCCAATCAAGGAGTTGGCCAGGAAGCTAATTTAGCTTTGATCGAGTAATACTATTAATTGAGTTGCTAGCTTCATCTAGAGCGCCAAAACATATTTGTCTTGTATCACAGTTAATTACTCTTCATTAAATAAGCTGTCCTACCTTAACCTCGATCCTCTTGTACTAGTTGTACTCCAGCTAGTTATGTATCTGAATCAAACAAGACACGTAGGCAAAATTAAGAAAGAAAAAGGTTAATTAATCCTATAATCGTTAGAGCACTATAGGTGAATGGAAGAGTAGGTTAATTTTGAGCCGTGTCAACGCGCGTTAAGTTTGGCCGCGCCGATCATAAGCATGAATATACAACAATCAATCATCGACCAGAACAACGAACTCTTAACCAGTAATTAATTAATTAATTCGCAGATTAATTAAGTGGGTTATTTTCGGTCTTCGGTTAGTTTGACCTGCCTAGCTGCTAGCTAGCTCCACGAGTATATGTTTTTTTTCCTTCAAGAAAATTTAGTGGATACAAATTCATTGGTAACTACCATTTATCGCCAAGTTTTTAAACATTGTAAAAGAAAGGAGAGCTGCTATACGTACGATTATTTGCGTACGATACTTGTACAATGTAACATCTGCCAGTCAAATCCCATGGTATTTTCTGGCCGTTTCTAACGAAGCAACACATGACATTTAACGTATGTTAGCAATCGTACGATGATCGTACATATAAAATCGTATTCATAGTATTTTCGAAAAAAAAACACGGTCACAAATAAAATACTATCAGTAAAAATCTAAAATAAAAGGACGTGCGAGGAGACGCGACAACATGTCTATAAAAGGGCACTAAGAAATAGCCCAGCTGTTCTTAAAAAAAAAGTTCTAAAAAAAAGAAGAAATATCCCAGCCTTAATATTGGTGGTGCCACCTGTCCAAGAGATTTGGTGGAAATGGGCATAGGATTCCTACTACCGCAATACTCCGGTTTCAATTATAAACCAAATTTTCGGTGGAACATCTGTCTAATAAATAATTAATCTCCTTTATTCCTTCCTGTCCCCTAAAAAAACCACGAGACACTTCTCCCTTTTAATTGCAACCGTTCCATTCACACTACTTGTACTACTCCTGCTTTCTCTTTTGCTGCCCAACCCGTTGACCGTTTATGAAATCACCAAACTACTCCAAGCTAAAAGAAAATAGTGTACAGAAACCAAATAAAAAAGGTCAGGAAAAGCTAAAAGAGCAATTTAAATTGTACAATTACCTAAAAAAGAAAATGCTAATAATAATCTTACTGTAGTAGTATGAATGCAAAATAAATGTGGGTGTGTAATAAAGCAGTTATTATCAGCAGTTAATAGTTTCACGGGGTACGGCCGTACTCCTCCTCCTCCTACCATACGTTGAGCCAGTCAGTGAGTGATTGGTGGTGGCCCCGCGATGGCAGTGGGCCAGCTACCAATGGTTGGAGGGTATTATGGTAAATCCGCGCGTGGAGACAGCGATGGACGGACATGGCTGGTCGTCGGCGATCCAACGGCGCATGATGGCGGTGCGGTGGTGGGCTCCGCCGGCGACGACGGCGTCGTAGCGATGGGTTGTCCGCGTGGCGGTGGGTTTGGTTGACGACGACTTGTCCTCACTGATGACTTGACCAAACAACAAGCTTAGCTAAAAGCTGTTTAGCTCTAGCTGTGTCCAGCTTACTGCTTGCGCTGATGTCCATTTCTCATGGTTAATGCTTTTGCGTTTTCTTCTCCTTTGGAAACAGTCACCCCAGTCAAACGTTTTCCGTCGAGATGTGCACGTGCATTCATTCCGAACATACCACGAAATTTCATACTTTTACTACAAACAGACCATAATTACTACTCCTAGGTTAATTCATTTTTTCTTTTTCTAAAAAAGAATTGAACTTTGGTTGCAGGACTAATTTTATGGATTTTGCTTATCATTCTATTTACCATAATAAGATACTCATATGTTCCAAAATTCAAGCATTCATGATTATGTATGTAGCTAGCCAGAGCGATTTGGAACGGAGGTAGTAAGTAAAAGTTATTCAAAACTACTTTTTATTATTATTATTTTTAAAAAGGTTAAATCTTTAAATCAGATGCTATGCTAATCAGGCAATCTCGTGTTTGAAATTTGCAAAAGAAAAAAGAACAAAAAAAAAAAAGAGAGAGGGAGGGAGGAAATGAGGAAATGCGCGTGGTTTGGGAGGATAACGGCGTGAGGAAGCAAAGCAAGTTGCCAACTTGGAACACAAGAAGGACACAAAGCTCTCTCTACTCCTTTTTCCACTCCTCTTCCTCCTCGCGACGCGTTTCCTCTCCTCCCCTCTTCTTCTCCTCTCCTCCGCCCAATCTCCCACCACCACGCCGTTCCTCTCCTCCTCCTCCTGCTGCTGCTGCGGCCGCGCCGCCGAGCCTCGGCAACCAACCCCCTCCACCACCACCACCGCCGGTAGAGGAGGCGAGGTCAACAGCAACAACCCAAACACAATATCCATCCCTTCTTGCGCGCGGTGGTTTCCGGGCAGATCTGAGACACACCAAACAAAAGAAGGTCTCGATCGATGGCTTCTTCCTCCCCTTCCTCCTCCTCCTCCCCCCCTTCCGCCGCCGGTGCCTCCTCCTACTGGTGCTACAGCTGCGACCGCTTCGTGCGCGCCCCCGCCCCCCACGACGACTCCGCCGTCGCCTGCCCGGACTGCGGCGGCGGCTTCCTCGAGGAGATGAGCGCGCCCCCGCCGCGCGCCGCCTACCTCCGCCGCCCGCGCGCGCACCACGCCAACGACCTGCGCCTGCGCCGCACGCGCCGCGCCGCGGCGGCGGCGGCGGCCGGCGACCGCTCGCCGTTCAACCCCGTCATCGTGCTTCGCCGCTCCCCCGCCGCCGCCGGCGACGACGACTCCCTCGCCGCCGCCACCAGCTTCGAGCTCTTCTACGACGACGGCGCGGGCTCCGGCCTCCGCCCGCTCCCGGAGACCATGTCGGACTTCCTCATGGGCTCCGGCTTCGAGCGCCTCCTCGACCAGCTCACCCAGATCGAGGCCGGCGGCCTCGCCCGCGCCAGGGAGAACCCACCGGCCTCCAAGGCCTCCGTCGAGTCCATGCCCACCGTCACCATCGCCGCCTCCCACGTCGGCGCAGACTCCCACTGCGCCGTCTGCAAGGAGCCCTTCGAGCTCGGCGACGAGGCCAGGGAGATGCCCTGCAGCCACATCTACCACCAGGACTGCATCCTCCCATGGCTCGCGCTCCGCAACTCCTGCCCGGTCTGCCGCCACGAGATGCCCACCGACGCCGCCCGCCCGCGGCCCAGCAATGCCGGCACAGAGGAGGAGACGGTCGGCCTCACCATCTGGAGGCTGCCCGGAGGCGGCTTCGCCGTCGGTAGGTTCGCCGGAGGGAGGAGGCCCGAGGAGAGGGAGCTTCCAGTTGTGTACACCGAGATGGATGGAGGGTTCAACAACGGCGGCGCGCCGAGGAGGATCTCCTGGGGTTCGAGGCAGAGCCGATCGACGGAGAGGAGTGCCATTAGGCGCATCTTCCGCAATGTGTTCTCGTGCTTTGGTCGCAGCCATTCATCGAATTCTCAGGCCTCGTCTTCGCATTCGAGGCCGGAGTTGAACGATGCGTCTGACCGGAGCGCCGTGTTCAGCCATGGCTCAAGAAGCCGGAGCACGAGCTGGAGGCTCGAAGATGGCCATGCCGACGCCATGGTGCAAAGATAGGCCTCAACTGAAGTAAGGAAGGTCGTCGATTGTTTCCATTTCGCGCATATGTATTTAGAGGAAAAGAAATTTGTAGTAGAACAGAATTGAGAATTGGTGTTGTACATAGGAGCAGCATCACATCTACTAGTAGATGATAACTTGCAGGGAAGAAGATGCCCACGATGGTGATTCTGAAATGAGCATTTGTTGTTTAGAGTGATGAATTTGCTCTTGCTGGTAGCAAATGTCGCTTGGAATTCTATGATTCATTCAAATTCATTGTGGCGATGATTCTTTGCATCTGTGAGAACGGAATGAATGAAACCATTTTGATGTTTGCAGTCTTGCAGGATTCAATAAAAATCTTGTTCCAGAAAATCTCTTGGCCTCTTGAATTTCGACCTATTCATCAGCTTTCTGTTGAAATGCAGACGTCTCATGGCTTGATAGTTTCTGGAGGATTGCTATCATGCTACGTTATCACCTTTATAATTGGTTTGATGATCATATTTCCTGGATCCAGTTTTTGTCACGTCTTTGCTTCATTTGTCTGAACCAAAGAACTTCAGTTTCACGAAATCCACCACTGTAATTTGTCTGTAGCCTTTCTCATGTAGCAGATATTTTAGTAGTACTTCCTTTTTCCTTGACTTATCTGAGACAAGATTTTTACACATCATTGTCCTGATGTCAACATAGAAAGTTGCAGGCACATGGAATTACTCTCCTGTACTGCATTTGAGTTCCTTTCCTGCATCTGAGCACATATCTCATAAGTGTTGTGCAGTAAAAGCTTGGCTTGTACATTCTCCCCATGGTTGACTACCTTCTGCAGTAAAATTTGCCTTCCTTTGAAACCTTACCTTGTAGTAGTCCTTGAATAGTACTGACAGCGTTGTACAACTATTTCATTTGGTAAACCAACCAAGAAATGCTCCTTTCATGCATGGCCCATATACAGGCATAATGCAGCTACTAAACTGAAACGATTCCTTCTTCCTTTTTTTTTTTGTTTGTACAACATTGCAGTGTATGTATGCATGTACTGGTACGTAGGTTAGGTCCAATGATTAAGCCCTGCCCTTAATCCTGCCACTGATGTCTGTTTTGGTAGTTGAGCTGCAACTGCATGCGAGCAGGGTTGGTCCAAGTTGAGGTACGATTGCTAATTTTCTGTTCAGTTCTGTCTGCAGAATATACAGGCAAGTATTGGCACAGTATCTTTGATGCCATCATCTTGTCCCTGAACAGTTTCTGGCTTTGTTTTGTACGACTGTGATGTTGAAACGGAAGAAAAAGGGTCTCTGCTTTGCTCTTTTTACTCGAGTGGAAGTCATTGTCCTGTGATGAGAAGAAATCAAGCAAGTGGTGGTAGGCATCTGAATTTACCACGTTTCAGATTCTTTCCTGGGGTGACATGGACATGCTTGTTTGCAGTTGTTACAAAACCACACTGGTGACTCGGTGGATGTCCATTGAGTTGAACAAAGGGCAAAGTTTGGTTCCATTCACTGAGCAAGCAAAATTGTTGTGATGACATGTGGAAAATACTGCAATATTACTGTGGTCTTGTGTAGATCTTTAGCTCAGGAATTCAGGAAACCTGAAAACGACCCACCTTTGGAGCATTTTCAGAAACTTGTTCCGGATTGTTGAGAGAGCTTGGTCTGTTGGGCATGCTTGGAATCAATCTAGATATGTTGCTTTCACGCATGACACATGCATTGATGCATAGTCCTAGCCTTGATCGATTGCTCTGGTTTTTATTCTCTTTCTTTACCTCCCATTTCCTTAATTGCAGTTTAGTGCAGCTCCAAGCCTCCAAATGATAAGTCTCTGCTCGACTCGGTAACTCCAACTCCTGAAAGTCTGTAGTAATATACATGGATTTTCTCCCTGATTCCTTTTACTTAGGTGGCTGAGTTATAACCGCAAGCAACACGGAGAAAGTCAATTTTCTTTCCTTGCGTGTGTTGACATCTCCTGCGCATTGTCAGATGTAGTAAACATCCTACTACACCTTTTTTTTTTACCTCCATGTAAAGCTTGAAGATTGGAGCTCGGATGCAATCACACTCTTCACCTCTGTTATGTCTATGAAGAAAACCATATGTGTTCGATCAGCTCCGATGAATTACAGGCTTTGCAACTTCTATTCCTAGCTTAGGTCCAGAAAATTCTTGATATGTGATGAACCAGACAGGCAGACGGACAGTATATATATACTGCTTTGATGTTGGGTGAGAAATGTTAGAGAGTAAAAGAAGTGGGTGAAACAGACACGATCAGTTTGCAGATGGTCACAACAACTTGCCATCTCCCTCCTTGCACGATTCACTTGGTACGGACGCATTGCTCTTGCTTCAGCCTTGTTACCTTGTACTGCATCTGTACTATCTCAATGTGAATCATGTGAGATTGATTTCCCAATTCCCATGCGGATGACAGATCACACACATCTTCAAGACCCACACGGCCGGCCATGCATGTTGAGCCGATCGACCACGTTGATTCTTCTTCACCGTGCTGCCATTCCATCGAACAGGCTGTGGGTGGGGGTCGGAGTTTTATTCTCCGAACCCCCCTCGGGCCGTGTTGGATTGGGAAAATGAGAAGCCGACGGCGGAGGCGGCGGTGGCGTGCTACAGCGGCAGGGGAGGAAGCGGCGGAGGCCATGGCCGGAGATGAAGGTGGGCTTGGACTTACGTGCGGCCCATATATTAACTAATTGGGCCAAAAACTAAACCCTTAAGTTTAGGGGTGTCAGTGCTGACTGTGACTGGACTGTGGGACCCGGTCATCTTATCCGCATCGCATGGAGGAGAGGAATCGCCTCCCTTATCCTCTCGCCATGCATTTCCTGCCTTGAGTGTGAGGATCATATTCATATTGCAGCTAGCGTACTGCACTGATCGATTTGCTCTAGCTAGCTCGTCGTTAGCCACCCATGGCTGCTTCTCCTGCTTCCACTGCCGCCGCCGTCGTGAATGCGCCGGCGGCCACCGGCGGGCTGCTGCTGCCGCGGGGGAGGAGTAGTTGGAGTTGGAGTTGCTGCAACAATAACAATTCTTCGATGGGGAGGAGGTGGCGGGCGGCGGCGGTGGGGGAGGTGGCGGCGGAGGGGAACACGTACCTGATCGCGGGGGCGGTGGCGGTGGCGCTGGTGGGGACGGCGTTCCCGATACTGTTCTCGCGGAAGGACACGTGCCCGGAGTGCGACGGCGCCGGGTTCGTGCGCAAGGGCGGCGCCACGCTGCGCGCCAACGCCGCCCGGAAGGACCTCCCCCAGATCGTCTGCCCCAACTGCAACGGCCTCGGCAAGCTCGGCCAGATCGACAAGTAATCATCCATCTCTACCTACCTGCTTCATCGACGATCCATCCATCCATCCATCATCATCCAGCTGCCAGCTTCTGATCATCTGATCACTATATACATGTGTGTATCTCACCATCTGTGTGCGTCGTCTATATAACTATATACTATAATCGTTAGTTTGGAACGCTGGAATAATTCCATATATATGGTCTAATTCCAGTGTTCCAAGCCGGCTATATATCAATCGCTACTTAAATTCAATGTACTTGTGTTGCTGAGCTACTTTGTCTCTGATATACATATTCATTGTCTCTCGCTGCTCTTCCGTTTAATGGAACAATATTAACATGTTCTTACTACTCACCACTTTTGTTTATATTTCTTCTTTTTTGGATGGACTGGAACGCGTCGTTGGCACATGTACGCTTATCGCTTTATTAAATTGAGACGGTTAGTATAAGCGAATGATTTTGATATATATAGCTCCGAGTTAAATACTGTCCTTTTTGGAGTATAGAGAGAGCTAGCTGGCTCTCAGGCTTTTCCTAAGTTTTGCATTGTGAATATAAAATGGACCTATATATCAGAGAGTAAGTTCGATATGGAATTACGGAGTATATTGCAATTATCTTTTCCCTCTCTTTGTTTGGTATGAAACTAATTAGCACACTTGAATAGCTGTGTCATCTTCAACTTATAAACTGTACAATAACACAAGGCAAGCACCAACTAAGTAATTAATTATTAATCTTCCTGCGGATGATGCACGATAATCGGCAAATTGAAGGCCAAGCCTGAATAGAGGGCTTGGTCACTTTAATGACATTTTCAATCTTACCAAAGTTGACAAAAAAGTGGCAACATTTAGTTTCCTGCCAAATTTTGGTAACTATATAAGAAATCCTACCAAAATTTGGTAAGGTTTTTTTTTGGCATCAAAGTAAACAGGCCTAGAGATAGCATCACTACAATAAAGTTTTTTTGATGAAATCCAGCGCGTTGCTGCGAGAGTTTTATGTGATATTAGTAAAAATAACATGTAAGATAGTATATTTTGTATAATTTTCATCTCTGGTTGACTATTGAAACAAAAATCTATAAACAATTTAGATTAATCTCTGGCTCAATGAGAGAAGGAAAAGAAAGAAGGTAATATATATATAAATTAATCATCCAAATGTAAAACTAAAGTGCTATGACATTGCAAGAGAAGAAAAGGACGAAGATAATTTAACAATGCATCATAAGTGCCTTATGATGAATTCTCTGCATTTTATAAAATGTATCTATGTCTTGTGGCAGTTTCATATAGACATTTTTTTATGTCTATAAGAGAGTAGAAGCATTTTCTAGAGATTAAATTGTACCACAACCATATCCAACCAATGCAAAAGAAAAGGAGAAAAAAAATGCTTTCCCTTGTTATTGACAATCCTTGAGATCATGACTTGGGTAAATCAATTTCATCTTCCATGCACTAATCAACTTAATATAATGTCATACCTGTATATTTGTGCCTTGTGTTATTTATATGTAGTTCCTAAGTATGAATTAACATTGAAAGGTGTGCCTCTATATAGCTTAAAATGTCTTTTACATAACATGCAATTTTTACAGTACATGAAGAATTTCTCTACAAGATAAAATAGAATCAAACATACTAAAAATGTCTCTAAAGTGTCTCTCTATAGTAAAAGTTTTCTATGCAATTTTCAAAGTGCCTCTAAAAAGTCTCTACCCTATAAAACTCCTAATTTTAGAGCCAATTAAAAAAGTGTCTCTACCAAAAGTGCCTCTATATGGGGTTTTTTTTGTTGTAGTGATGGTACTCATGTCAAGCCGTTGTCCACCTTACTAATTATATCCCTCACCTCCGCAAACATATATACTTCCTCCATTCAAAAATGTAAGTTGTATTTTGTTTTCTTAGAACAAGACTTGGACTAACAATTGCTAGATATATCATTTATGTGACACAAAAGCTAGCACAATCATAAGGAAGTACTTTTGAATATGAATCTCATAACATCAATTTTGCGTCATAAAAAACATATTATAATAAAGTAACTGCTAGTCAAAGGCTTGTCCAAAAAAATATGCCATATATTTTCAAATGGAGGGAGTACCATATATATGCAGGTTTAATCTAGCTCTAGTGTCATCACTGTCCACTATGTATGCTCCCGCCATCGCCTTAACTCGAAGTCTACTTGTTAATTTTGTGGTCCACTATGGCACTATCCATAACAATAAATAAACCATAATACCAGGGTGTCCTAGACATGGCTCTAGCTGACGTGCGTATATATAGTAAGCTCCAAAACATTGCTCTGACCAACCGTTCTTTTTATCGCTAACTATGACTTCTAGTTGAAACTAAAATCCACTTGTCTGAGAGGAAAAAACAAACCACGATCGCATCCACCAGATATATGTGAGAGTTTGATCTATCACTAGCGCGTCATCGCTATTTCTAGTACATATGCTTCTGTCATCACCTTAATTGTAGTCTATCTAATCTTCCTCCTTTTCCACTTGCCAACCCTAAACGAAATCGAATTCACTCGTTGATCTTGTGGTCGACTATGCATAGTAAAATTGTATGTAGTACATAGTAAGCTACAACACCTTGGTATAGAGTAAGTGGTTTTTTCCCATCACTAGACAACATTTGGCTTCAAAAGCCACAACCATATCCAACCAATGTAAAAAAAAGAGATAAAAAGTATGTCCCCTTGCTATTGACAATCCTCATCCATCAGATATACGTGAGTGTTTGATCTACCACTAGCGCATCATCGCTATCTCAGCTACAAAACCTTGGTATAGAGTAAGTGGTTTTCTCCCATCACCGGACAACATTTGGCTTCAAAAGCCACGACCATATCCAACCAATGTAAAAAAAAGGAGATAAAAAGTATTTTCCCTTGCTATTTACAATCCTTGAGCTCATAACCTGTTGGGTAAATCAAATTTATCTTCAATGCACTAACCAACACAATCTCATGTCATACTTGTACATTTGTGCCTTATAGTATTTATATCTAGTTCGTTAGTATATTAACATTATAGAGCTTAAAATTCCTCAAAAAATGCCTTTACATAACACGCATATTTTTAAGTACCAAAAGAATGCATCTACAAGAGAAAATTAAATAAAATATACTAAAAATGTCTCTAAAGTGCCTCTAAAAGTGTCTCTACACTATAAAACTCCTTGTTTTAGAGATAATTCAAAAAGTGTCTCTACAAAAGTGCCTCTACATGTTTTTTTTTGTTCTAGTGATGGTACTCATGTCAAGCCATTGTCCACCTTACTAATTATATCCCTGGCCTCTGCAAACATATATACTCCCTCCATTTAAAAATGTAAGGCACATTTTGTTATGTTAGAACAAGAATTGACTAATAATTTTGCGTCACAAAAATCATACTAGTCAAAGCCTTATTCTAACAAAACACAATACAGCTTATATTATATTTTGAAATGGAGGGATTACCCTATATATGTGGGTCACTATCCACTATGTATGCTTCCGCCATCGTCTTAACTTAAAGTCTATGTGAACTCCCTCCCTTTTTACTCGCCACCCTAAACGAATGTTGATTTTGTAACCCACTATCCATAACAATAAAACCATGCTACCAGGCATGTTGTCCTAGGCGCGGCTCTAACTAACGTGCATTTGTATAGTAAGCTCCAAACCATTGCTCTGACCAACCTTTTTTTTTTCACTAACTATGAACCCGGGTTGAAACTAAAAGTCACTTGTCCGAGAGCGAAAAAAATGCACCGTCGCATCCACCATATATATATGAGTTTGATCTATCACTAGTGCGTCGTTGCTATCTCTAGTTTAGATGCTTCTGTCATCACCTTACTTATGGTTTATCTAAACTTCCTTCTTTTCCACTTCCACCCTAAACGAAATTGAGCTTTCTCATTGATCTTGTGGTCCACCACGCATAGTAAAATTGTATGTATAGTACATAGTAAGCTACAAAAACTTGGTGTAGAGTAAGTGCTTTTTTCCCTTCACTAGACGGCATTTGGCTTCGAAAGCCACAAGAGTATAGATTAACATTATGAGAAGTGCCTCTTTAGAGCTTAAAATGCCTCAAGAAAATGTCTTTACATAACACGCAGCTTTTAAAGTACCAAAAGAATGCATCTACAAGATAAAATTAAGTAAAAATATACTAAAAGTGTCTCTAAAGTGTCCATAGAGTAAAAGTTTTCTAGGCAACTTTTAGAGTGCCACTAAAAGTGTCTCCACTCTATAAAACTCCTGATTTTAGAGGCAACTCGAAAAGTGTCTCTATACCAAAAGTGCATGTATATAGGGTTTTTGTTGCAGTGGTGGTACTCATGTCAAGCCATTCTCCACCTTACTAATTATATCCCTCACCTCTACAAACATATATACTTCCTCCATTTAAAAATGCAAGGCGTATTTTGTTTTTTTAAACAAGAGTTTGACTAACAATTGCTATATATATCATTTATGTGACACAAAAGTACGATCATAAGAAAGTACTTTCGAATACGAATCTCATAACATCAATTTTGCGTCACAAAAGCCATATTGTAAAAGAGTGATTAATAGTCAAAACCTTATTATAGTAGAGTAATACACCTTATATTATATTTTGAAATGGTGGGAGTACCCTATATATGCGGGTTTAATCTAGCTCTAGTATCGTCACTATCCACTATGTATGTTTTCGCCATCATGTTAACTTGAAGTCTATGTGAACTCCCTCCCTTTTTGATCACCACCCCCAAACACATGTTGATTTTGTGGCCCACTATCCATAACAATAAAACCATGCTACCAGGTAAGTTGTCCTAGGTGCGGCTCTAATTGACATGCGTATGCATAGTAAGCTCCAAAGTATCGCTCTGACCAACCTTTTTTTTTGTCACTAACTATGACCCCGGGTTGAAACCAAAAGTCACTTGTCTGGGTTTAAACTAATGCGTCATCGCTATCTCTAGTTTAGATGCTTCTGTCATCACCTTGATTGTAGTCTATCTAAACTTCCTCCTTTTTCACTTGCCATCTCCAAACGAAATCGAACTCGGTCGTTGATCTTGTGGTCTCCACTATCCATATGGTAAAGCTGGTACATAGTAAGTTACAAAACACTGGTATAGGGTAAGTGAATTTTCCCCTTCATTAGATGGCATTTGGCTTCGAAAGTCACTCTTTCGTTCGAAAGCGCAAAAACTAAGGTAAAGATAAACCATACCAAAGCATATATAGTATCAAACACGCGTCAAATATTTACCGTGCGCACGTGTGTTCTACATGTACGCGAATTATTCGGACCAATCAATCAATAAATTCCTAAAAACCAAGCTATTGATCCTAAAAAATGTCTATGGTAATCCTTTTCCTAGTGAATTTACCCATCCATGTATACCCATGCCCCTAGCTAGATCAAAAGCAATGCATAGATCTCAAACCAACTACCATAAGTCTGAGATCGAAGAGAGAACACTGTAATTAATACTCAAGCAAGTTACCAAAAAGAAATTAAGAAAGATGTAAGGAGAACACCATGAGAAGGGAAATTAAAGATGTATGAGGAGCGATCTAAAGGGCTTATTAATCATACTCCATGTATCGGCCGGCCGGGAATAAACTGAGTAGAGGTGATACATTGATGAGAAATTAAAGGAAATCGATTAAGAAAGGCGACTAATCAATAAAGAGAAACCTCCAATATAATCCGACGCAGGCAAAGGATCGTCGTCGACGATGATCATGGATGGGGTGGCGAGCTAGCTAGTACTCGTCGCGCCAGCAGATGAGCATTTGGATGCAGCGGCGTATGATGTAGAAGCGCGCCCGGTGCTCCTTCACCGTCTTGGTCAGCCGATGCTTTATGTTCTCCGCGGAGTAGCTCCGGCACGGCATCTTCACTTGCTCCGGCGACGACGATGGCGGCGGCGGCGACTTCTTCAGGCCCTTCGTCGTCTTCATCACCTGCTCCTTCCGCACGGCGACGTTGCCGCCTGCAGCATCCTCCTTCGTCTTCAGGTTCTTGCAGGTCTTCTTCATCACATGCACTTCCCTTGCGCCGCCTGCTGCAGCCTCCATAGTCGTGGTGGTGGTGATGGTCGTGGTCTTCGATGGAGAAAGAGATTTGAGGATCGCGACGACGGTGATGAGGTAAGCTATAGCTATAGCTAGAGAGAGCGGTCACTCACACCTGGCTGGGTGTGCCGCGCCTGGGGTCTAAACCACGCGCAGCCACTGCTGACGTGTGGGGCCCACATCGGCCGTCCGAGGATGACGTCCGGCCGAGCCGACCACACGCACGCACGAGCCCGGTGCGGGTCGTAGCTTGCTTGCTGCTTCAGTTACTCTCTCATCTCTCATCTCTTGCTCGCGGCCACGGCCACAGCCACTGCCAGCATATGATCATGTCATGCTGTGCGTGCCTAGCTTTCCAGTTGATTCCAAGAGAGAGAAAGAGAGGAGAAAAATTATTTTTACAAGCAGTATATGTAATGTAAAGTATATATAACGGATGGATGGAAATTGCAATATAATATATATGGCAAATAATATTGTTGCTAGCTCCATCTTTTCCAGCTAGCACACTTTTATTTCTTTCTGCCACAATGAACCTTGTGCACCACAGGATATTAGCTATGGAGAAAAAAACGAAACGATTTATAGTTTTACACTACTTGCTGTCTTTATTACGACGCTCTGATTAATCATTCTTACCTGATCAATGTCGTATGTACACAAACTCAAACGTGCATAAATATATTCGCTTCTGGCCCTGGTTTTGATTTTTGAAATGTTGATGTATCGGATCATATCGGAGATCAAAACAGAAAATGGAATAATGGTCGATGCAAACTAACTTCTATATATTCCACTCAATCGCCAATAGCCAAGACTTAATTAATTACTTAACCAACACTACCAGAAACTGAAATACCCCTGACGGCCGCAATTTTTACTGACGTGTGTGCATACATGTCAGGAAATTGAACCCTGACGGACATATGTCAGGCAAATTTATTTTTCCCCGACAAGCTAGTTCTGACGGTGACATGTCCGGAACTATTTTCCTGACGGGATTTTCTTTATTTCTGACGGGATTTAGCCGTCAGAAGTAATACAATTTCTGGTAAGATACTCAAATTCCCACGTAGATACGCATATATATGCTTGCACAGTAAACAAAGATGAGTATTTATTTAATTTTACATCTCTTTCAACCGTATATATATATATACTCCATCTTGTATAGTTCACTGTCAGAACATACGCATGGTTACACTATAGTTACATTACATTTGAAAGTTAATTTCTTTTTAGAAAAAAAACTTATATTACGGTAGCTTTTTAGATAATTTCAAATTAACCTAGCACCGGCAGTTCCCGTGCAAAACAGGGGGCTAGCTAGCTTGCATGCTAGCCATGCATATATAGCTTTGATTTTTGTTTTCTTGTGCTTTTCAGGGCTTCCAGAAGATGCAGATGATTGTGGAGTAGAATACTCTATATCCTAGCTTGCTGCTTTTGTTCGTTTGTTATAAGCTTTGTATGGATGAAAAAAAAGTTGTTTTTAATTAATTACAGAATGTTAAGAATCTCTCAAGACTCTCAGTAGTGGTATACCCAATATAATAGTGCACCTGACATGCATGTGAAAGTTAACGGATGGATGATATGGATGGATGGATATGATGCTCATGATTCCTTACTATTTGGAGAATTATCTTTCATAATATTCATATATAATTTACATGTTGTTAAATTATACGATTTTTAAAAAAAAGAATTGATGGTAAAAGATTAAAAAATATTTGACTTATAACAAAGCTATAATGGCATCTAATTTAAAACAGAGAGAATATCGGGAATGCGTGGGCCTTTTTTAGGGAGATAAATGCATAGACTTATAGAAATAGATGACTTCATTCATCAAGATTTAAATTTTAGTGTTCACGTATATTACGCATTGGTGTGCACTTTCAATACGATTTTTGGCGAGGTCGAGAGATACCCATGTCGTCCATCTATTTAACCATGTGTTATATATGGACACACACATATGTATGTGGGTATGGGTGTGATGTGTGTGCACGTATTCGGTGTTATGAAAGAAAGAATGCATATAAGTTTTACTTGTCAGTTTCAAGTTTCTAAGTAATTAACTTTGCGTCAACATTATTTGTTGTTGCGATTTTTTTAAAAAAAGAAGCACTATATGAATTTGTATAGAAATAGAGAACAAAATGAAAGGAAAGAAGTAGCGTGAGCTTATAGTGTTTCTTCTTGTAGAACCTGTTGACTCGGGATTTAAGTTACGACTACTTATTTGTTACTAGGGGTGAAAAGAAAGCTCGGGTTCGTGAGCTTAGCTCGGCCTTGGCTCGAGCTTGGTTGGCTTGGCTCGGCTCGTAAGCCAAACAAGCCAAGCCCAAGCCTCCTTTTTAGCTCGTTGCTGAAATGAGCCGAGCCGAGCTAGCTCGCGAGCCGCTTGTTTTGGCTCGCGAGCCTAGGCCATCGTGTGTTTATATTGATTATTTTACTTTATATAGTGTTATTATTTGTCAACTTGAAATTTATCACTAAGATTTTGAAGAATTGAATATAAAAACTTATTTAAATTTTACATGTTGATGATTTGTTTTTACTTTTTTTCAATAATTACAAAATATATATGAATAGGTGTTTCAACAGGAAAGCTTGCAAGCCAGCTCGAGCTGGCTCGAGCCAGGAAACGAGCCGAGCCGAGCTTAAGTTTTAGCTTGTTTCCCTAACCAAGCTGAGCCAAGCCAATCCTAGTTTTTTGCGAGCCACTGCAAGCCGAGCCGAGCCAGGCTTGGCTCGGCTCGTTTCCACCCCTATTTGTTACTGATAGTCTTTCTTCGGAGGTTCAGGTGCTTACAGAAGATGTGTGTGCGTATGTCTGGTTTCATAGCATCGTGCTTCGTAGAAAAATAGAGTAAATTTCATAAAACCCCATCTATTATGATCCAAGTTGTATAAAAACCAAAATAATTTTGGCACGTGATATATAACCTTGGGTATTATGATTCTATAGTTTTACAAAATCACACCTTTAACCATTTTGATTTACTTTTATATAAAAATTTTTAAAAAACGGATGTAACATTTATATGATGGGATAAAATCCTTATAATTTGAGATATGATTGTAAAACTCAAAAATGGTATTGCGAAACTTAAGAACCATAATACCTGAGGTTATATAACACATGCCAAAATACTTGTAGTTTTGTGTAACTTAGACTATAATATTATCGGCGGAGTTTTATGAAATTTAGTGAAATGAAAGGATGGTAAAATGGAACGCAGGGAGGTCCGGCCCACAGGGACATGCGGCCCAGTAATAGAAGAAGTCGATTAGGAGCAGCGGGAAAGCGATAAGGAAAGCGACAGCCATAGCCACTCGCTGCGCCTCCTCCTCATCGCCTCGCCGTCGCCGGAGAAGACAACCATGACCACCATCGCCGCGCGGATGCCGTTTGCGGGCCCACGCCTCAGGCCTCCCTGCAACCTCACCGCCTCGAGGCCGGGTCCCAGGAGGGCCGGGCTGGCCGTCGTCTCCGCCGCCGCCGGTGGCCCGCTTCCCACCGTGCTCGTCACCGGCGCAGGCGGCCGAACAGGTGCAATGTACTCCTTGCGGAAACCCCTCTCATGCCCCTCCTCGCCATCTTGCCCATTTGGTTCCTCGTGTTCATCGAATCGAATCGAATTTTCTTTTTTAGATAATGGAATCGATTTTCCTTGCAAGAAGAAAGAAATCTAGTTTCGTGCACATCTACTCTTGCAAGAATTTGACTCGGTTTTCCCTTTTGCACGCTGCAATTGGCCTCTCTGTGATGATGATGATCTTTCAGGCCAGATTGTGTACAAGAAGCTCAAGGAGAGGGCAGACCAATTTGTGGGGAGAGGGCTAGTCAGGACTGAAGAGAGCAAAGCCAAGATTGGGGGCGCTGCCGACGTGTTCGTCGGGGACATAAGAGATCCCGCGAGCATTGCTCCTGCCATTGACGGCATCGACGCGCTTATCATCCTCACCAGTGCGGTTCCGAAAATGAAGCCTGGGTTTGATCCCAGCAAGGGGGGACGCCCAGAGTTCTACTTTGAGGATGGCTCTTATCCTGAGCAGGTGATTAAATGTATTTTGTGTCACTCACATTTTCTGTATCAACTTGTGCCTTCATTTGAAATTGATGTTTTCTGCTATTTGCTACTCTTTGAAGGTGGATTGGATTGGCCAGAGGAATCAAATAGATGCTGGTAAAACATCTTTGTCTTGCAGATGGATTCTTTGAACTTGTTTCTTTTCAGCTATGCTGTTCTTTAAACCAGTATTATCAATGACTTGTTGGTCTAGCTAGCATAGCTCCTTTTTTTTTCAGTTAATTCATTCCTTGTTCATGATTCGTTTATGTTTTTTCGTCATCTTCATGTAGCCAAGAGCATTGGTGTAAAACAGGTGGTTTTGGTTGGATCCATGGGCGGCACAGATGTCAATCACCCACTAAATAAGTTAGGAAATGCAAATATACTGGTATATAACATGTGCAAAGTCTTTCTTTCTTCTAATTTATTCATCTTTATGTGTGCGTGTTCATATGTATGCATGCATGAGCACATCATATGCACTGTTTACAAGCTCAGAATACTTTAATGTTCTTTGAATTCGCAGGTTTGGAAGAGGAAGGCGGAGCAGTACCTAGCAGACTCAGGTCTACCATATACAATTATAAGGTTGTAAAGCAAGACATCTCTTGAAAATATAGTTGTGATTTGTGAAATGCACGTTGTCTTGCAGTCTACATAATTTTACTAGCACATTAGCTTTCTAGAACATGGTTTCACCTTTCTTCCCTATAGCTATAGGTGCCTGCAGCCTGATCATAAACTCAAACCTTATGTATGTCTGTCAGGAATAAAGAACAAACCCTCAGTGCAGTTGAAATCTGGAAGAATTATTGTAACTTGAATCAGGAGATTGCATCGACATACTCTTTTCATTTTGTTTTTAATGCAGGGCTGGAGGATTACAGGATAAAGATGGTGGTGTGCGGGAGTTGCTTGTTGGGAAGGATGATGAGATCTTGAAGACAGAAACAAAAACTATTACCAGAGCAGATGTTGCAGAAGTTTGTTTACAGGTACCTTCACAACTGTGGATGACATGTTACTGTTCATAATCTCTGCTCGGTGAATTTTGCATCTACCATGTCTGATGTCTCCGAGAACAATGTTAATCTACCAAAACGTTATCTATCTGAAAATGTTAATTTACCAAACATAAAGGTTGCAACATTCTCTGCTTGCACATGCCATGTATTTTTATATCAAGTGCTGATTCTGTTGCCTAATCCATCTGTGCCTGTTCCTTTCCTTTGCAGGCCTTGCTATTTGAGGAGGCAAGGTTTAAGGCATTTGATCTGGCATCAAAACCTGAAGGTGAAGGAGTACCTACAACTGATTTCAGGGCTCTTTTTTCGCAAGTTAATAGTCGCTTCTAAGAAGTATAATCTGTCAACGAGGCACAATATTTGTGATGGAATAATATGAAGTGTGTATTGAGTGAGGTTAGTTTCCTAGCATATATGCATTTTTTTTGTTCATCCTTGTATTAGTAGGCAGTTGATTCTGCATATATTTTTAATTATCTGTGATCTTTTTGTTACCTGGTACTGTTTTGAGAAAAAAAAAGTTCGCTAATTGCATACCAATATAACAAAGGCAGTTACTTATTACTCAATCATTCAATATCTTCAAATCATTTAAGAGAAATACAGATGATTGCTATAGTAATGCATTCACAGTAAGAGTATGTTAAGAGCAAATTTAGTTACCCACCCCTACCGAGAACTCCTTGTTCGTATTAATTGGAAAAATACAGAGAGCAAACATAAGTCGGAAAACCAAGCCATCTTCCAAGATCATCTCCAATATCCATCAACACAAGAAATAAATTGCAATACTTAGAACCCTTATGCTGATGATTGCATAACTAGCTTTTGAGAATATTGGAGACTGATTGAGATCTGCTTTGGTCTTTCTGATTACCACATGATCACCTAGGTTTCCACTTTCCATGTTGACAGTGCCTGTATTATCCTCCCCTTCCATCCCTGCAGCAGCCAGCCACTATCTTCATCAATTACAAAGTCTTCATGATAAAATTCCTTGTAATGTACTGATCTATTCAGAATGGCTTGATTAACAGGACGTTGCTTGAACCCAGCCCTGAGGATCCTCATTTGCCACTGTTTGTAGCTTTCTGGCCTCTCAATCCTTTCTGCACCTTCGCATGCTACAGCATTAAGTGCATCATTCCCAAAGAGATCCTTCTCTACCAATATCCTTGCTTCATGGTTCCTAGGAACATTGTTGTCGAGCATATCAAAAAGTGATGAGTAATGGAATAAAACCTCTCTGAATCTAGTCAGAAAGAATGGGGAGCTGTACAATCCATTCACAACACCAAGAATGAAAACCTGCGGGTTCATCCTCTTCATCATGTGTAGTACCCTATCCCTTGCACTATCAATGTTTTCTGTCTCATCACCTAGCTTTCTCATTCGTGACATGCAGTTGATTATGAGTACCTCATCCTTGTCAATACTGAGATCCTCGATGCAGATAGTTTCCCATCTTGAAGCAATGCCATGATACTGGAAAGGTACGTTGAACATATTTGCATACTCTGCCAACCGCTTTCCAGTCTCCTCAATCCTTTCATGAGGGCGAAAACCAGGCTGGGGTACATCTACACCTGTGATACGAAGCTTAGGGGGGCCACCTTCTCGCTTTGCAAGTCGCTGAATTAGACATGGCCACTGAAAGCCGAAGAGGATGCCAAAATCAACGATATGCAATGTTGTTTTCCCCTCCAATGCATCAATGATGGTTTTGTTGGAGAAGTAGTATGTTACCATCTCAAAAGGGCATGCTACAAAATATAGATGATAGGCCTTTAGCATGTCTCTGGTGCTCGTTTGTTTCGCCATCAGTTTTTCGTACATTTGACTCCCAGTCCCAGCCAAGCGAGCCTCGAGGCCATCTGCAAAGCAGTTTGCTAGCCTCTGAGAACCATCTCCATCTGGCAAAGCGTGATGCCTTATTTTCCTCAGTAGCTCACTAGCAAAGGGATGGTTGTTAGATGCTATCGCTTGTGCACATTGGATGAGAAGAACACTGAGATCTATTGCCTCTTTCTGTTTCTTCTTACTACTGTGTGGCTTCCTTTGCCCTTTTCCATATCCTTTGCTTTGAAATTTCTTTGGGTTGTCGCTTGCTTCTTTTGCCATCATTCCTCTAAGGTTAGCAACTTCACCAGGGAGCTGCCTATTGCAGAGCAGAATACTATCAAACATTTCATCCCGTATTGTTTCACTAGTGGAGATGGCCATATGCTTACTGTTCCTTGCTTCCATCAACTCTATGTGCTCAACATGAGGATCATGAGGATGATTCCTTATTTTGTTCTCATGCTTGCCCTTCTGTTCTGTTGTCTCTGTTGTTTGTTTGCAAGCATAAAGACCATTCTTCTCTGGATCATCCACCAACTTTTCAATATTTGGAATGAACCTCTTTGCTTCCTCAACACCTCTCCTGAATTGCAAAGCCAAACGGTCAAATTCAGAAGACCAGTCGGTGGTTATCGAATGCGCATCCTGTGACCCAAGGAGATCACTAACAAAGCTACCACTACATGCCTGTTCATGATAACTGCTGCTACCATTATCAGGGTAATCTGCTTGACTGTCACCGTTAATTGCTGTCTCCTTAGATGAAGATGGGTATGCCTTCCCAAGAATATCATAGAAGGGCTTCTCTGTCGCCTGAAGTGCATCCTGTCCTTTTTTTATGCTGATCTTTTCATCAATATCCTCCTCCATCAATATTCTGTTTATATAATCAAGAGTTATGTTTGAGTTGGTCTGACAATACTCAGGGCTGTCCATTATGCTAGACCTGCATTGCTTTAAGCTTCTGAAGCAGAAATTTGTGATCTACAAAAGAGCAAGTCAACCTTTTAGAAGGGTTTCTTTACCAGCCAATGTCTTTTTTTTTTGCCTCTCAAAACTTGCTAAAATATCAAAATAAGTCATAGATAGGATAATAGGATAAGTTCAAGAGTTCTTTTATGGTCCTGAGAGGTGCCACGCTAATTAACAACAGGAGTTGCCAATATGAATGAAAACATTAAAATTCGGAGGTACTGGTACCTCCCAGGACTGTAATCAGCAAAACATAGTTTTTTGCCTAGATAAACTGACATGTAAAACCATCTCTGGCACCCAATTTTGAAGATTGTATGCACTACTTACCTGCTATGTAAATCATACTTTTGACATGGATAACCTCCAAACTCTGGAAGACACCTTTTGTTGAGAAAAAATGTTGGTGTATCAAAATGTAGGAGTTGGTAACTTGGTATACCAACTACACTGTAGAATATATCCCAAATATACTTTTTATGATGTATACTACTATTACTGCTGTTACCAATTGTTAACAGCAGCAAGAGAGATTACATCAGTATTTACCTAGCTTAATGATGTATCTGGCCTATGGTGAGGAAGGAGGGAGGTGAAAAACTGGGGACTTTATTTTGAGCCATTGAGAGTAGTGGCATTGTCCAGTCCTTATGAGAGGGGCTGAGGCTCCTTAGTTGTGCTGATGGGTGAGCTTTTCTTGTTGATGTGAAAATTGTTTAATGTTCCTCTTGGTCTTTATTTCTTGTTACTTTCTTGTTGACATCTGGCTGATTAATATTAGGGTTATTTCTTGTAACCTTCTTCTTGACACTTTTCTGATTTATAAAACATATAACTGTGACATGAAGGTAACAGATCATATTCCAAATGGCTTTCTTGTGATCATTTCTGTTACAAACTAGGCACCATTGTCATTCATCCAGGCTGGGCCTTTTGGTTCAGTTTGGACACATAGATGCCCCCAATTATAACCAAAGAGAAGGATGTGACAACTGATAAAAGGACATCATGTGCCCAGGAAAATGATAAGTAAACTGGAAATTCTAAAGTTATTGTCTAACTATTTAACGTATTGTGCTATTTACTCTAATCCCACGTTAAACAGTAACCGGCCATTGGAAATTTAGAATACAATCAGTAATCTAACTTAGGAGTAAAAAAAATATGAGAATATGAGAACTAAAAGTTATGAATATAATCTAGAAATTGTACTTCCAAGAATAATTTACTGGTATACAATGAAGTAGTTGTTTCCAGCCAAATAGTTTGCTAATAGATGGAAAGAACAATTGCATGTCACTGGAGCACAAACAGTCTCTTGTTTAAGCTGTATGATTCCAGCTATTCATTGCTTGCAGCTTTTTTTGTCTCCTTCTCAGGTATTTAAAATTATTATTTTTGCTTCCCCATTCACATGCACTTAGATGTTGCACTATTACAACCTATTATGCATGAAAGAACAAGGGATAGACACATTGGTTTTAGAAAACAACAGTTTCACTACTAGAGTAGTTTTCTATTACACATTTACACTTTGTTCTGAAATAAAACAAGAAGACTTTTAGTATGGTCCTTAGGGAGGAACCTTGAACTTTCAAATAGTACATATTGTTGAGATGGAAGGACTGGTACCTCCTTCAAAGGTATAAAAAAAGTATGTTATACACTTCGTTTAGTTTAGTTTCTATATATGCTCATGTACAATCAAATCAATACATATAAAGGATACATATATGTTCATTTATTGTGTTTACGACTGTTCAAGTAGATACAGAGATTGGCAGTTGCCTATACACCTTTGAGCACCATAGCATATGTACATGAAAAACTGTTTGAATCTTACTGATCCAAATATGATTCATTTGGCTTCCATGTGGATATGGCATAAATTACTCTCCCTTTCCATCCTTGTAGTAGCCAGGCACCATCTTCATCAGCTACAAAGTCCTCATGGTAAATCCCTTTCTTCATATTTATTATCTCTTTCAAGGTGGCTGGATCGACAGGGAGCTGCTTGAACCCAGCCTTGAGGCACCGTGCTTGCCACTGCTTGTAACTTTCTGGCCTCTCAGTCCTTTCTGCACCCTCGCATGCTATGATGTTAAGTGCTTCCTGCCCAAAGAGTCCCCCCTCTATCATCTTCCTCGCCTCGTTATCCCGTGGAACATTTGCATCAATCATGTCAAACAATGAAGAGTAATGGAACAGAACCTCTTTGAAACGTGTGATGAAGAAGGGAGAGCTGTATGATCCATTGACAATACCGAGAATAAAAACCCTTGGGTTCATCATCCTCATTATTTTCAGCACCCTATCCCTTGCGCTATTCATAGATACCATCTCATCACCAAGATTCTTCATCCTGAACATACAGTTGACTATGAGCACTTCATCCTTGTCAATGTTCAGGTCCTCAATTTGTACGGTTTCCCACCGTGAAGCAATGCCCTGATATTGAAAAGGCACCTTGAACAAGTTTGCATAATCAGCCAACCGCTTCCCTGTCTCCTCAATTATTTCACAGGGGTGGAAACCTGGCTGGGGCATATCTATACCTGTGATCCTAAGCTTGGGTGGACCCCCTTCTTCATTTGCAAGCCGCTGAATCAATGATGGCCACTGAAAGCCAGTGCAAATGCCGAAATGAACAATGTGCACCTTTCTTGGTTGCTGCCCCTTTGATGCATCAAGAATAGTTTGGTTTGCATAGGCGAATGACGCCCTTTCGAAAGGGCAAGCTGAAAGGTAGAGGCTGTAAGCCTTCAACAAACTCTCAGCACTGGTTCGGCTTGCCATGAGCTTGCGATACACCTGGCTCCCGATCCCAGCCAAGCGCGCCTCCAGACCATCCACCAAGTAAAATGCCAACCTCTGGTTACTATCTCCATCTGGTGAAGAATGCTGTCTTATCTTCTTCACTAGTTCACTGGCCGAAATGCGGTCGTCAGCTGCTACTGCTTGTGCACAGTGGATGAGGAGATTCCTGAGATCAACTACATCCTTCTTGAGTTGTTTCATACCCCGTAATTTCCGTTGTGCAGATCCTCTGGTTTGTCCATTCAGTGAATTCTTGCGTGCTTGCTTCGTCATTATTTTTCGAAGATTTGATGCTTCGGCGAAATTCTCCACACCATAGCAGAGCAGAACCCTGTCAAACATATCATTCCGGATTATTTCACAGTAAGTGATGGCATAGCGTTTGCTGTTCCTCCCTTCCAAGATATCCAAGTCTGTGGTGTAAGGGCTGTGCCTTTGATCTGTCAACTCAAAGATTGCATATCTTTTCTTGTCTCCTACTTTTGCCTTCGTGGTCATTTTTGAAATGGAGAGCCCCCGGTCAGTGTCCAAATCGATCACCAACTTATCAATAATTGGAACAAATCTCTTTGCCTCCTCGGCACCTCTTCTAATTTGGAAGCCAGGGATGCCAAAGGTAGAAGTCCAGGCAGTGCTTACCAAGTGTTGGTTTGGAAGAAAAAGACTCCTGCCATAGCTATATGGACTCAATGGGGTTGGCAAGGGCTGTAACATGTTGAAACTGGAATGGCTACTATGGTACCTATTATGATAATTGTTTCTGCTACTGCTCTCATCAGGCGTATCTGGTTCATTTGCGCTATGGAGTGCTAGCCGGTTTAGCGATGGTGGATATACCTGGCCAAGAATATCATAGAAGGGTTTCTCTGCAGCCTGAAGAGCAGCCTCCCCTTGGTGCAGGTCAACCCTCTCATCGACGTCCTCCATCAGCACCCGACTTATGTAGCAAAGGGCATCGCTTGATCTGATCCTCTGGTACCCTAGACTAAGCGCTGCATCAATCTGAAATTGTTGTTGTCCAAGATTACTTTTGTCATTGCAAATCCCAGGGATGGTGACTGCACCTGACAAATACGTTCTTGATCCTGTGGTTGGCTGGGAAAACAGCTGCGGATCGCTGGGGCTGTAGTTGTACAAGCTGAGTTGCTGCTGGGAAGAACAGGAAGACCCATCATGTGGCTGTTCTGTTTCTGTGGTGGTGTATTGATTGTCAAAGGGAAGCTCAATCACCATTTGTTTTTTTTTTTTTTGCCACCTGAAAACTGAATGACAGATATATCCTGTCCCACAGCAAATGAATTCAGTTTGTTGTCTGTAAAAGGGAAAGTGAAGCAAGTTTTGCATGAGACAGATTCTGAATTCTTCTTCATGATCACGGATACTCAAAATTATGTTCAGCCTACTCATTTGGTAGAATTCAGAACATTTGCATCCCCAAACCATAGAAGGTTGTTTATAAGAGGGAACCGCAACCAGTTAGCGCATTATTTCCTCACCCTTTTTTTCTTTGGAAATTCAGCTTATAATTGATTCGGTGTGAACTTCTATGAAAACAAGCAAAACTATGGTCTCCAGTAACAAATTGAATTGTGTTGCATAAATTACACAACAGTACACCTGAAGTACTCGTTTCTAACATTCTGAATGTTGAACTGCAGGAGGCTCCTGATGGAAGAGCTCAAGAACATTGTTGTCTGCTAATTATGGAAAACAGGCAAGTAGTTAAAGTAGACAAACACGCACCTTACTTATCAGCAGTTCCAATTCAGCAACAACATCATATATAGGTTCCTTGAGACACAGAAGTGAAGGAAGAGGGGCATGGGCCATGTTCATTTCAGATTATATAGAGATCATGTTGTCCCCATGAAATGAAGGTGGTTTTCCAATTTCGGTAGCTAATGTTTGGTAGTGAGACCAGTGTCGATGTAAACTAAAATCTTTGTATGTATCTTTCTTTCAGGGTTCAGATTGCTCCACCGTTTTTTGGGGGGATATTCTTGATGCAATATAAAAAAAGGCGAATATTAGGGATGGCTTGATGATCTAAGGCTCCCGTACATGTTTTTTGCGAGAAAGTAGCTAGCGAGCCCAGCTAGAAACAATCCTTCTTCTTAAGATAATGAGCTAGGAACATCCTTTTATTTGTCCATCTGTAGTTAACTACAATGCCTTGGCATCAAGAATCTCCAATCAAGAACACGTTCACACTATAATGTGTCTAGCAGCAGCTAGCATCATTATCCTAAAAAAATTTAGCTACATACATAAACATTTAAAAGAGTAAAGTGTATTGCTGGCACTTAAATTTGTTCGTCTTATCTAGGTCCTTGATATTGTTAAAGTGTATTATTTTGTTCTCAAATTACCATGACATCTTTGAGATCCTATATGGCACTCACGTGTCAAATTACCACGACACCTTTGAGATCCTATATGGCACTCACGTGTCATGTCACACGGGTGTTAACTCATTTTCTTTATATTTTTCTCTTTCCTTTTCTTCTCTTCTTCGTTCCTACTCGTGTGGGAAAAAAATGAGAAAAAGAAAAAGAAAATTTAGGACCGGAATATCCGTGTGGCATGTCACTTTAGTGTCCATGTGGCATACCTTGTAGGATCCCGAAGAGGTCTTGGCTAGTTAGGACCGGAATAACACACTTAACAAGCTTGGGGATTTAAAAATACATTTTAAGAGTTTGGAGATCTGGGATGTCATTGATAAACAAGTTTAGAGATCGACAATGCACGTTCGTCTTGTTTAAACAAGACAATTCTATTTTTAAGATAATAGAAGCTTAATTGAGCTCATCCAATTACATCAAAGTGATATAACTGTATTGAGAACACTCTCGGACTTTGCATAACTAAGTTATGCATAACCAAAATACACACAATGTGGTTTTAAAGTGAAAGCAAATACAAAACACGGGGAGAATTAAGGGCCATCAATCTTAAAACTAATAAATCGCTACCCACGTTTCTGGGTAAAAAAAAAATTCCATGCTCCAATCTCTAACATGCCGCAGTAGTAAAATCAATCTCGGTTTACCATATGCTAGCGACAGAGAAAGCATGGTTAGTGTAGCTGTCTACCCATTTTACACTTAGCTTCACTCAATTGGACAGTCTACTGGTGACATCGATGAACTTACATCCAACAACATACTCCATCCGTCCTTAAAAAACAAATCTAGAATTAGATGTGACATATCGTAGTACTATGAACCTATATATATCTAGGTTTATAGTACTATGATGTATCCTAACCGGTACTAGGTTGATCTTTTATAGGACGGAGGGAGTATATACTATTTCGCAGAGCACACACTGGGAAAAAAAAAACTAAAACATTAAATTTTGGACCGAAAGACTAAAGCATTTACGGCCCAAATAAGCAGACGTGTGTATCCGGCCCACTTAAAGGTTGGTTGGTCTCTTCTTCTTCCTCCTCCATCCCCTTTGCCCTCCTGCTGCGCCGCCCCAACTCCGGCGCCGCAACAAAGCCATGGCCAAGAAGCTCGGCAAGTCGCCGGTGGCGAAGGAGGAGGACAAGGAGGGGCTCTTCGCGTCATGCTCCTTCACCGACCTCGGCCTCCACCCCACCCTCTGCGCTCACCTCCAAGGTAGTTTTTCCCCTTCGACAAGCCATGGCTGGTTGGTTCTTGGATCGAATTTAGAGCAGACCATTACCGAGTTGATGTCAAAATTTTACTATTCTCCGACGCCTCTGACTGATTTTATTTTGTTATCTCGTCCAACTTCCGTGACAAGTTTCACAGCATGCTAGCATAGGGTTTATGAACGGAAATGAAGATATATATATTCTTTTTATTATAGCTTGGTAATCAAACACTTTGGTCGTCTCTTTGATTTAGATAAGATGGGCTTCCAAGCGCCAACAAGAATCCAAGCTCAGGCAATTCCAGTCGCCATGTCTGGACAACACATGTATATGCTCCTTTTTCACAATACCATAACTCCTTTGATTCAGAGACTTCTTTTTTTTATTTACATTTTGTTTTTTGGACTGTCAATTGCAGGCTAGTGAAGGCAGCAACTGGTACTGGCAAGACTCTTGCGTACCTTGCACCAATTGTTCACCTTCTCCAGATGAGGGAGCCTCGTGTTGAGAGAACTGATGGAACTTTTGGTAACAATAACTTCTTGTGATCTGCTTATGTTTCTTTTCATGCATTCTTTCATTACCTATGTTTTTCGTATATCCACCATCCATTTGTAAAACTTTTTCTAGCTGTGGAGACTAACCCTTTGCTAACTCTTTTGATAGCTCTGGTACTTGTACCAACACGGGAGCTATGCCTACAAGTTTATGGGATTGCACAGCAGTTGGTGCATCGTTTCCACTGGCTTGTCCCTGGTTACATAATGGGTGGTGAGAACAGAGCAAAAGAAAAGGCAAGATTGCGAAAAGGTATATCTTGTTCAAGGACATATTTTGTATCTCATTAAATATACTTTTATATAGCATCATATATTGAGGACATGTTTATTGCAGGAATATCAATTCTAATTGCTACTCCTGGGCGTCTTCTGGACCACTTACAACATACGTCATCATTTGTCTACCCAAATATGCGTTGGATAGTTTTTGATGAAGCTGACAGGTCTGATAGCCATACATTCATTACTCGGTTTACCCTATTTCTTAGAAGGTTTTTAAGTGAACATAACTCTTTATGTTATTGGTGCTCATATTCTTGCAGCATTCTTGAACTTGGTTTTGGGAAAGCACTAGAGGATATACTAGAGCACTTGGGTTCAAGGAATGATACTTCTAACCAAAATAAAAACAAAATGGAACCTATGAAAAGGCAAAACCTTCTGTTATCTGCAACTCTCAATGAAAAGGTGAATCGGTTAGCCAAGATTAGTTTGAAGAACCCTGTGATGATTGGTCTTGACGAACAGAACTCCAGTGCCCATGGGAAGAACCACACTTCTCTATTATCTGATGATGAAGAGGAAATACTGGAAAAGCACAACGTTACAGTGGAACAAGCAGTTGACGATTTCAAGCTTCCTGCACAGCTTGTTCAAAGATATGTTAAAGGTAGCAGAAAATTGCCTCCTTATATCATTTTAAGTCATGTTTTCCCTTTGCTCACTTAGTTTTTATATTTCATTCAGTTTCATGTGGTTCAAGGCTCGCGATTCTTCTTACCATTCTTAAATCTCTGTTTGAAAGACAACTGTCTCATAAGGTAAATTCTCTATATCCAGACCAGAAGCTGCTTCGGTTTCACTATGTTGTAACTTTTCCACTTCAAGTTTTGCTTGCCACCAATAAATACTAAAAGTCATGTGAGTTAAACTATTCTGCGTTTGTTTGTGTCTTCTTTTTGCAGGTTGTTGTTTTCCTGTCAACATGTGACTCTGTAGATTTCCACCATACAGTACTCAGCCAGCTTGAGTGGAGCCCTGGCCTGCAACTGGATACGGATAAGAAGCAAAAGTTTATTAGCTGCAAAGTGTTCCGTTTACATGGGAATATGGACCAGGATGATCGCAAGAAATCATTTCTGGGATTCAGTTCTGAGAAATCTGCAATTCTTGTATCTACTGATGTTGCTGCTAGGGGCTTGGACTTTCCAAAAGTTAAATGTATCATACAGTATGATTCACCTGGGGAGGCTTCTGAATATGTTCACAGGTACCTGAAGCATCTCCCTGTCTAAAACATTTATTTGTAGGTTTCTGATTTATTGTTTCCAACATAGTTATAATTGTATTATTTGATTGTATACGAACAGACAAAATGTATTGTTGCAGACTAAAGCACTTTACTCTTTACCTGGTTCCTTTTTATGTGGTAGTATTGTTCATTGATTTCCTGTTACATGAGACTGTTTTTGTCAAAACTCTGCAAAGTTTTTAGTCTTTTGAGTGCTATTCTGTCATGTAATTTCTTGTGAAGATGTTAAGGCATTTGATGTAAGCTAAGCTATAGAGACACTTTCTCTTGTGCTTCCCTTTTGCTATTTATGTTCTTTTTTTTGTTTATTTCAAGTATCAGCAACTTTATTCGTTTATTTTAGGGTTGGAAGAACTGCAAGGATTGGTGAAAAGGGGGAGGCTCTCCTGTTTCTCCAACCTATTGAAACCGACTACTTGAGAGATCTAGAGCTACATGGTGCATCACTTACAGAATACCCCCTCCAAAAGGTTTTAGACAGTTTTCCTGTAAATGGACAGAGGCTTCACAAAAGGAAGCAAATATCTTTAGATATGCATCCATGGATAATGTCTTTACAGAGAGCATTGGAAAGTTTTGTCACATCCGAGGTAATGTATAGAACACATTTTCGTTCTGTTTCTTGGTATCATATTTGGCTACTCATGCACAATGAGATAAATAGTGCACAAATATGATTCCGTTGATCGTCTATTGTGAATACCATGAGCTTTTGACCTTTTGCTGATCTTAGCAAATGCATTGTCATGTGTCCTCTTATCCAGGACACGACGAAGAAGCTTGCAAGAGATGCCTTCTGTTCTTGGGTGCGCGCCTACACTGCCCACCGAGGTGAACTGAAGAAGATTTTTATGGTCAAGAAGCTCCATTTGGGGCATGTAGCTAGAAGCTTTGGGTTGAAGGAGCAACCCTCCTTGTTGGGAAGGTCACACCAGGTGCAACTCAAGAAGAGGAAGAAAGAACAGAAGCGCGAAAGGCCTGCAAAAAGGAGGAAAATCCCGGCCAAGAGATGAATCTCCATAGCAGAAATGCTTGTAACTCGAAAACTAATGGTGGATCATGATCCACTCCAATTTTGTGGAACTAACAGCCGCAGCTTGAAGGTGAAAACATTGACCCCATGAAGCTTTCATGTTTTGGCCAGAAGCCTAGAGAAGAGCTAGTGTACTGCCTGTAATCTGAAATGTATCAAAAGACACAGAATGTTTTGCTCAGTTTGGGATTATCTACTGCTCTGCTAGTTACCCATTTTAATCAGAAATATAATCCATGTGTTTCTTCCTTACGATATTGTTTGCTCAAAATATTATCCATGTAAAAACTGGATTTGTTAGAAAGGCTTATTGGCTGGATGCAATTGAATGATACAGTACAAATGTTCTAACTCGGTAAGCACGTTTTTCAGACAAGCAATGTTCTACCTCATTGAGTTAAAACCATACTATCAAAATTACATTGGGACTCTGAAAGGAAACAACATTACTGCCTTTAACGGTTTTCATAATACAAAGTTTGCTCTAAATGGCCCCCTTAATCTACACTGTTCTGGTGATTCCTTCCTGACCAAACATGGTGCACAAACTTCCATCCATGGGCAACATGTCATCAGAGGAGCTTCTCAAAAGTGAACCAAACTGTATATGAGTGTCCATGAAAGCTGCAGCAAAAAGAAGCAAATTCAGTTTCGAACCAAAACAAACGGAAACAGGGTAGTTACAGAAATTGGTTATGTTTTTCTTTTTACCAGGAAAAGAGTGAAAGAGGCAAACATTCCCTCCTGAAGTAGTGCTCCATGGCCTCCAAAGTCTTCCTCATCAATCTTCAACAGGTATGCATAGTACCAGTAAACGAGCCCAGTAGAAATAGTCACAAACCTGTGTACAATATATGTCATATGTTAAGAGGAACATATCAAAAGCTCAGATGCTGGTATTAATTAACGATCTTTACAGAGTTCACTGTGCCATACAGAAGAAAGAAAACAGTAATTACTGAAAGTATAATAATGAAACAATAATTACAGTAATTCTGTGCAAGGTATTGCTTACTAGTGTCATATAAACAGAAATAATTACTGATAATTCTGCATAAATTTTCAGGGTACTCAGCTACCGACAGGTTCGATAATCATGCTTGCAATGTACTCCAGGCCAAATTAAATTGTATTGCCAAAAGCTCATCTTAAGTGATACAGCACATGAATCTAAAGAACCTAGTAGCATTCACAGTTTCACACACTAATTATACTAAATTCAAGATGGATGTTTGCGCATGCTTGCTTATAGCTTCAGGGTCTTCTAATTATCAGCAATTAAAGGTTCAACGCACAGTTAATCTTCACCGAAGATAACCTAAATGCATCTAGGGCAGCAGATGTGCACGTATCATCGAGCTAAGATCTTGCAGTTACAGGTGTCAAAACAACCAAAATCCACACCAAAGCAAAAGGTGGATTTTGTAGACAATGACCTCCTGTAGCGCAGATCCCAATTCCCAACTAAAAAGCAGAAAAGTTATTAACATATGATAAATCTGATCCCCTATCTGCACTACAATTGAACTCCTCAATGTGAGGAAGAGACTCAACAAGACACATCTGACTACAAATCCACGAATCCAGCATAGGGCGAGATGGGATTGGAGGCGTGAGCAACTCACAGTGCGATCCAGATGGCGCCGACGAGGGGGACGGCTCCCCAGAGCAGGCCGCAGGCGAGGCCGAGCACCTGCCGGATCCAGTGCACGGCGTCCAGCAGTTGATCCTTTTGCAAAGGAGAGCCCAGCCAAGCAAGCATCCATCAGGCAAGGAGAATCCGGAGGCCGCCATTAATGGCGGCAAGAAGGAGGAGGAGGAAGTATACCTTGTCCCAGGAGGCCTCCGGGTCGAAGTACCTGGCGAGCTTGGAGTGTCCGGCGCCGCCGTTCTGCTGCGCCTGCGCGCGCGACTGCTTCGACGGCTTCGTCTTCCTCATCTCGCTCGGCGGCGGCGGCGGCGGCGGCGGAGATGGGATCGCGAGGGAGCAGTCAACAAGTCTATGGATGGAGCTGGTTTGGTTGGTGGCGATTTTGCAGATGCCTCCTTGGAAAGTTTGGATATTGCATTTACGTCCCTACTAGTGATGGTCGGCTAATGATTGGTCCATCATTAACATGTCATCTCATTACGTGCAAACATAGAAAAATAAGAGTAAATTTTATAAAGCTGTAACTTTAGTGACAAAACTATCAGTTTGCTGCAACAATAGCGTCGGAAATTATCACAAAGCTGTAACTTTTACGTTATATTGTCACCTATATGTACTATAGCAGCATATAACGTAAAAGTTACAGTTTTGTGATAATTTCCCACGCTATTGTTGCAGCTAATTGAAGCATGTCACTAATGTTGTAGCAAACTGATACGGAGTAGTTTTGTTACTAAAGTTATAGTTTTCTGAAATTTACTCTAGAAATAAAAATAAAAAGCTCTTTATCAAAGCCTAATTTCGAGCATGAGAATTATTCCAGATTACAAAATTACAGAGTTTCAATGAATTTTCTACTATGGATCATTGGAGAGCAAGCCGAGAGGACACATCTTTCACAAAATCAGTGGGCGAAATTACAGCAGTTCACCTCTTAAAAAAAAGAGAGAGAAAATCCCATAATAACACTATAACAGTTCAGTACATTGGATAGAAGTACACCATGAGATCACTGCTCGCTAAACAAGCGATTCATTTGATAAGGGAAGTACTAACACACAACGCCATCAAGTACAAGATCTGACAAGATAATTTGAATCATACATACAACCGGCAATGAGTTCCCTGACAGTTGATGAATTATTTGAAGATATTACTTTAGTTACTTTCTTGGATCTACAATGCTTGATCAGTTAAAGAGCCAGTCTGCTCAGGTGACAACAAATTGCCTCAGCTGACAACTCACCTGATTCCCTGCAGGAACAATGTGAAAATTGTCAAGATTCATTATCCGCCTTTCACTGTGATTAGTAGTATCACTTATCATTCATGCATAGAATGCAAAAAAATAAATAAATAAATAAATAAATAAATAAAATCACATATCCATGTTGTTGTCTGCCTTGAAATATGATACATCATGCACATAAATTTGGAATGCTCGAAATGTTATGGATAGGATAATGGCCCGAAAAGAACTTCCAATAAGCATGGTGCAAAATTCAGTGACAGTTGTTCATCTAAGGAATTCATATGTAAGATTGCAGATTGCAATTCTTCCTGACAGGGTACTAACCCAGTAGTAAAAACCATCCTTGACTAGCCTAAAAGGTGTAAACCTCAATGATCATTCGTACCAAGTTTTGAATCGCCTGAATGCAAAGTTCACAAGAGCCTAGGAAGGAACCAGCAAAGCCCTATTAGGCTATTACTACTAAAAACTCAACTTGTGCAAAAGAGCAAATGTGCATCAAAGCAAAAGGGCATATTGCCTCCATGAATATGCATAATCAAAATGGTTCTCCCACTCAGCTATAACATCTGTGGGAAGTGAGTAGAACATTCTAAACTGACACTTGAGCCTCACTGCTATTTTGGCTCCTCAAAATATAATCAGAAACTGGAAACAAATTTTAGGAGAAGAGATGGTTACCACAAAATGTGGGGAGCGCCGCACAATAGATACCGCAGAACCAGGAGATGCTGCTGATAGGGCAGCAGCTCCTCTTTTAGAAGGTAGATTCCGCCCCTTGTTCTTACTCTGAGAAAGACTCTTATCAAGAACATTTTCAGTTCTAGAGTCAAGTGGCATTAACATTGGAGGTGAAACTGGTATAGAGGAAGCATCTGGACAAACAACTGAACTCATGAGAAGACCTCCTGCGGAAATCAGTTGCACGAGTTAGATTACAACCAAAAAAAAGGAAGCCTGTGTGCATAAATATGGGAGCAAACAAAGGATCGGTACTATGAGAAAAGGGAGGATGAGAAGTCATGAAGGGAGAGAAAACTAGTCATGTCTACAGTGCACATTATGGCCAGTTGCACGGCAATGCAGCTGGAGCTGAGTACACAGCGGCTTGGAGGAGAGTCGTAATTTTCCGTGAGATGGCTGTTAAGTGTTAACAGGGAAGCTTATGGGTAATGCTTAGGAGTAGATCAATTACATAGCATATTTATGTGGTTCCAGTACTTGATGGCAATCATGGCATATCTGTAGTTTGGTAATTAGATCAATCTGCTAAGGATATGGCATATTTAAAAAGGCTATTGTGCCACTTGGGTTGAGGACACCTCAGTTAGGACTAAAGGCCCTATCCCCTAATCCCTACCATGTTCATTGCAACGACAATTCATACTGACAGTTAATGTTCAGTACCATTCACAGTAGCAGCCTCAGCCTGGAACCTTTCTCTGACGATTCTTACAAACTTGAACAGATCGTTAGTGAGGTTCAAATCCTTCATCAACTCTTCAGAATCTTTTATACTTGGATCACATTGAAGTACTGTTGTTAGGAAAAAAAAAGATAATGTCAAGTACAGCTCAAAAAATCAAGCATTCAAGACACTTGGCCAAGTTTCATGAGGAACTTCAACTCACAGTTATATCGATCTTTGGCAAGCTTTAAGGTAACCGAGTACTCCTTATCAGGGCTTTGCAAGTCTATTTTGTTGAAGATGAACTTTACACCTTGAGGAAGAACAGGGCAAATGCCATGAAAGATGGAATTGGCATAATTTAGGGGCGATTCCTTATATTCCTCAGTAAAGTTCACTTCATCCCCTATGTGCCACTGTTGTCCCAATGACATGTGGGCTTTAAACCCACGAGTCAGTGAGCTGATAAGTGGCATATAAAGGATAAGATGAAATTTAAAAGGCATAAGGAATTTATCCCATAATTTACTTGAACATTGAGCTGATTCATCACTCACCTTCTCCTCCAACAACCTGGAAACCAAGGAACTTGCTGTACCAGATTACAGCTTCTTCTATTTTCTTCATCCGTGTTTCATCCTCAATAAACTTTGCTTCAAGAGCTTCAACAGCTGCCACAGTACATGAAGTATATCACTATCGTATGAACACTATATGTGCACAGTTCAAGAAAGACATTTTCTAAGACTAGCAATATAATGTTTTGAAAAACCTTAAATAAGCCACAGCAACAAAAAAAAAAAACCCAAAACATAGCCCTAAAATGATAGGTAAGTTACCCTCGAGGTGATTCGATATGACTGCAGCATGGTGATCTCTCTTGTTCCGCTGATCTGTAACCATGCCCTCAAGCTTCTCATTTATAGCCGCAGTGCTTGAAATCGTCTCTTTGGTAAGTTGGTACTTTGACTCCTTGCCGGCCTTAACTGTAAATACAGTTTACACCAAGATTTCAGGCATACCATGAACCATTTGGCAGCGAAGTGCAGTTTAATTTACCAGACAATGCTTCTGCAAGACCATCTTCCAAATTCCGCAACTGAAGGTTGAGTCCACTCAGTTCCTCTGCACCATCCAAAATGTTATGAAAATAAATGCACAACAGAAACACAAATTTTATCGTCGAACACCCTTACAGGAAAAAGACCATGGACACCGACTGGCAATGATCAATGATCACTATTGAGGTGCTAAAAACGCAGGGGATAACAAGGCGGACAACCCCTTCCCATATGGCTTACAAGGGATATATAAAGGAGAAATGTAGGAGCCCTAACAGATAAAAGATTAGAAGTCCTACTAGGAAACTATAAGAGAAAACGATAATCCTGTAATACAAAGTCCTATTAGGAAACTCATCGGAATGTATTGCTAGCTGAAATTCAGCAATATTTAACACAAAAATTTCAGCACTCATCGGAGGGGAAACCGGGTAGAGTTACTTCAATTCACTCAAATTCAATTCACATTCAGTACCAAGTACCAACCACATTTTCCAAATAAAATAAAATCGAAGATACATCAGACACGCGTCCAAAGTTCATTTCGCACAAAAAAAAATGGGGGGTGTTTATTGAAACGAGAGAGATTGAGGGGGTGGGGGGAGGGATTAGGGGAGGGCGTTGCCTTGGCGGGAGATGGTTTGACGGGCGATGGAGCGGGAGGAGAGAAGCGCGGCGCGGTAGTTGGCGGAGGTGGAAGCTTGGCGCTCCCTTTCGACGGCCATCCCGCGCTGGTACGCCGCCAGCTGCGCCGCCATCTGCCGGCACAGCTCCGCCCCTCCTCCTCCTCCTCGTGTGCCGGCGGCGGTGCCTCCGGCTTCCATGCTACCAACTCCCTGGGCACTGGCGGCGTCCGGCGTCGGCGGCGGAGGGATCGGCGGCAGCCGACGGTGGCCGGAGTGCGGGTTGAAGTGAGGAGTTCGAACCCAAAATTTGTGAGAAGAAATTTCTCCTTTTTGGTCTGAGAAAGAAGAAGAAGACAAAGCGGGATCCATTCCATTGTGTGGGCCTTTTTGTGAAGCGTATTGGGCCTCATATTGGGCTTAGGCCCAGATCATCTTGAAGAAGAGCTGTGCTTTTACCCATTTTGAAGGCTAAATTTGACCATATTTTCTCCACTTTACTCATTTGACTCTACATTTCAAAAATGAAGTTATTGTCTTATCCTATTCTCTGAAGCAAGTTAACGGTGTTGAGACTAGAGCTCAAGGTCAAAATGTCATTTATGCCCTTGCTTATTTGACACTACTTTCTCACAGGTTCTGTTCATTTGGTTCAATTTTGTGCCCTTACTGTGTAGTATAAAATTTGTAATGAAATGACATATCTCTGGCAGTTTAACTGAATTTGACATATCCGTGACAAAGTTGACTTAGATGTCACAAAATCTGTGAAATCTAAGTGAAACAAAACCTATTATATTGTTAAACGAATAGAAAAAAGAGCCTCCACGTTCGCTCTCATGGCCTAGAAATTCTCACATTAATCGGAGAAAAAGAAAAAGCAGAGTCCATATAGAAATACAATTTAGAAATAGTTGAAATTCAGAATTAAAAAATAAGAAATATTAGAATAGGAGACTAGAGTCCATATAGAAATACAATGTTGAAATAGTTGAAATTCGGAATTAAAAAATAAGGAATATTAGAAGAGGAGAATAGAGTCCATATAGAAATACAATTAGGAAATAACTGAAATTCGAAATTAAAAATAAGAAATATTAGAAGTAGAGTATAGAGTCCATATAGAAACACAATTAGGAAATAATAGAAATTTAGAATTAAAAATAAGGAATATTAGAAATAGAGTATAGGTCCATATAGAAATACAATTAAGAAAAAAAAAGAAATTCGGAATTAAAAAATAAGGAATATTAGAAGTATAGTATAGAGTCCATATAGGAATTTAAAACTAACTAAAATTTAGAATAAACATAATAAAATTAAAAGTAGAGTTTAGAGTCCGTATAAAAATACAATTTACAAATAACTAAAATTCGAAATTAAGAAAAACATGGGAAGATAAGTTTAAAGTCAATATAGGAATACAATTTAGAAGTAACTGAAATTCAAAATTAAAAATTAAATAATATTGAAAGATGAGTTTAGAGTCCACATAGAAATACAATTAGAAATAATAAAAATTAAGAATATTGGAAGAAGAGGATAGAGTCTATATAGAAATACAATTTACAAAAAATTCGGAATTAAAAAAAAGAAATATTAAAAGACGAGTATAGAGTCCCTATAGGAATATATATAATTTACAAATAACTAAAATTTGATATTAAAAATAATTAATAACTAACACATATATAAAATACAATATGAATATTACACATTAGTAATTTTGTAAAGTTATTGCAAAATTTAAAATTATGTTGTCATTTTAATATATTTGAATAATATAATGACAAAACATATATGTTATTATATGAGAGAAAATATAATGATGCAAGCCGCGCAAAATTGCGCGGGCCACCATGCTAGTTAAAAAGAAAAACAAAACCTTTGAGAAATTAGCAGTTCCAAAAAAAAAATCCAACTGAAGCTGGATGTATGACATAGGATCGCCCAATACCGGAAAGATGGAAAGGCACAAAATTAACAAATTCTGCTAAAGAATACCAACAAAACAACCACAAGTCGTAGAGCGAAGCGATGCGAGGGATGATTTCCAGTCGGCCACAAGATCGATCAAAACCTGTGATGACTGACGAGACAAAAATGAAAGAAACACAGCCAATTCATCATCATCGAAGAAGAAGAAAATGGATAAGATCGTGTGGTGCAGAGTGCGCGGGAGATACAAGTGCGGAAGCAATCGCAGCCACAGCCATTTTTTGTGTACACGTAGACGTCTCCTCCTCTTTCTTCTCCATCTCCACGTTTTTTGTTTTATTTATACTACTCCCTGTTTTTTAGTTTTATTTATATTACTCCCTGTATTTTAGTATTTTAATGTATAACGCCGTTGACTTTTTAATCAACGTTTGACCATTCATTTTATTTAAAAATGTTATGTAAATATAAAAATATTTATGTTATGCTTAAAGAATATTTGATGATGAATCAAATCACAATAAAATAAATGGTAATAATATAAATTTTTTAAATAAGATGAATAGTCAAACGATGGATAAAAAATCAACGGCGACGTCGTGCATTAAAATATGATATGAAGGTAGTATTTAATTTGCTTTTGTTTCCTCCAAGCAACCACCACCTCCACTGCGCCGGCGTCACTACCGACCGCCGTTGAGTCGTCGTCGTAAATATCCCACCTCTCCTCTCCGGGGCAGCCACACGCCCCTACCTCCAAGCTTGGAGAGACTGGAGCCATGGCTACTGCCGCCCCGCCGGCGGCTTCCGGTGCCCGACGCCTCGGCCGGCCGCGGGCGGGGCTGCGCGTCGGGGCAGTGGCGGCGGCGGAGGGCCCGTCGTGCCTGTACGTGGGGCCCATCGAGACGGCCAGCCAGGAGATGCTCGAGGCGCTCTACCATCAGGTTCCTTCACTTGCTTGCTGCTTATCCTCTTATTTCCTGCTCAATCATTTTCTTATACTGCCAATAAATTCACCCCCTATACGTGTTATCTTGCTTGATGTTGTAACAGTCCCCAAATGCTTATCCCTTAATGCATAGAAATGTTGGAATATAAAGTGAATTGTCCGTCTTTCCTCATCAGCAACACAATAAGAAGTAATCACCATCTTGTTGTTTTTTCTCTATTGCTGTTTTGATAGGCCAGGGATTCCTACTACAGCGGCCAGCCTTTGATTGTCGATGACATGTTCGACAAAGTTGAGGTATAATTCTTCTAATCTTTTCTCTATCTATATATTCAGCATATATGTACTCACTACTCAGCTCAGCTAATATGATTCAACATGTAAGGCTTTAAGATGTGTAACAAATTGTATATCCATGCCCAGTTGAAGCTCCGGGTTTATGGATCCCCATCCGTAGTGAAGTATCCCCGTTGCAGCCTCAAGAGGCAATCGACGTACGCAGACGCTGAGGTTACCTTTTGGGAGGGAAACAAATTCAGTATCTCTACATTTGATCTCACGACTCTGGCAATACTTTCGACTTACAGTCCGATGTTTCGATTGGCTTTTGGGTGTAGGGCAGGAGGACAAATCAATGTTCATGGCACTCTCAAGCATCTGGATGCTGCTGCTCTTGTTTGGCACATCGGCATTTCTCGTTCCCTCTCTCTGTATTCTAAGCCTCACTTTTGGGGATGCATTCGGAGCAAGGTATCTCTTGTATGGTGCAAAATCGTTTGATGTGATAACTAGGGTAAATGACATGGTTTTAATCGGATTGGGCTATCTGATTGGTTATCCGATTTCATCTGCATCTGGTAAGGGAACTTCTTTGTAAATATTCCGCGGTACAAGGATTTCGTGTTCCCTGATATGCCATGTTGGCCACATGGTACAATTTTTATGCGTTGATTAATCATCTTCTTATTTTTGTTCTTTCAGTTGGTGCACTGCAAGGCTTGCTGACAAACAATTTGGTTGCACTAAAAGGTTCTTGCCCAAATTGCGGTGAGCAGGTCAGCTTCCTTCTACAAGTAGCCAATTTGAATGTTTATCCATATTTCATGAAGTTCATCTTTTCGGTCATCTAAAGTGTAACCTGTTCCTGCCAGGTCTTTGCATTTGTCAAGACGGATAATTCCATCAAAGCTCCCCATAGAGCAGAATGTCATGTCTGCAGCTGCCCACTGGAGTACCGCACTAAAGTTGAGGTATGCCAAAAACAACAATGAAGAACAAATAGCTGAATGAAAATGTCTATGACAGTAAATGGCTTGGTTTCAGAGTGCCATATGGTATAGGAGAGGGTGATCATTTTAGATTTTGGTGCATGCTGTATGTGTAGTTTGTGACTCTAAAGAAACAAAACGGATAATGTCTACTTTCTTGACATTGTTATCCAGAAATCCTTGTCGGGAACTAGAAGAACATGGGTTTATGGCAGAGTTTATCTTGTGAAGCAAGGGCATCCAAGGAAGCGGAAATGGTTGAAAGACTAAATTGCCAGTGCTAGATGCTGAAGAAAGTTTAGAGGATGATTTTAAGTTATGTGGCTATTCTGAACTTCTGATTGACTGAAACATATTTAGAGATGTTGCTCTTACTGCTCCAATGTGCTTATTTGTTTCTCTGTTCAACCAATGTATCTTGTAAAGTGGTAAATTCCTTGGAAAGATTGCCAAACATGAACAAATGTTAAATTGATGATGCAGTATTATGAATAATGGCGTGCCTTCTCATATATTTGTTCATTAGAAATTTATCTTCATACATGAAGTATGAATGGCAAACAGTGGTCTGTTAAGAGCAAGTTCAGTAGGATCGAATTTGTTCACTAGATGTTGGACACTAATAGAAAATCATTTATCCTGTTCGTTCAGCAAAGTTGCAGATAAAAAATGTCAGACAGAATCATATTCTTATTGCTTTAAATCGCACTAAGCATACTATATGTAACCAAATCATTTCTTTTTTCTATTCGAAGAGAACATTCATCCAAAACTGGTTTCAGAGGGGAAGATCTAGAACTCAAAAATATGATCTGGGGCAGCTTGTAGATTTAAAAATCAGGAAAAACTGGATCTGGGCACATCTGTTGCCTCGAACAAAAATTTCGCAGCATTAGAACTAGATATAAACTGTACAATCCACAATGCACTGAACTGAATGCATGCAGATATAGGCGACCACATACTTTTTACTTCAGACAAGACTCTGACTAGAAGCTGCAAAAACAACTAAAACAGGCAAGCACCAAGGATTCACAACTCTCCTCTTCTTTACAGGTCCCTCTAAGAGCCTACACTACTCATCTCAACAGATCTATATCTGATCATATGATATATGATTGTTCACTTAAACCAGCCTCGCATTTGCGGGCTTCCCCTTCGATGACGGTTTCGATCCATTGCTGCCTGCGTTCTTGCTGCTGGACTTCTTCTGCAGCTGAGGATTTGCCCCTGTCTCCTTGGAATCCTGGAGCTGTTCTAATACAGCAACAACCTGCTCCATGTTAGGCCTGTTCTTGGCCTCCACAGAGATGCATTGAAGTGCCAGTGTTGCAGCCTTCTGGGCCTTGGCAAGGGAGTACTGCCCGCCCAACCGGGCGTCCAGGATGCGGAAGATGCGCCGCTTGCTCATCAGGTATGGCCTAGCCCACTCCACCAGATTGTGCTCCCCGGTTGGGCGGTTCTTGTCCAGTGCTCGTCGTCCTGATAGCATCTCTAGCAGCACAACTCCAAAGCTATAGACGTCGCTCTTGGTGGTCAGATGGCCTTCACAACATACAGAGAAATGTGTCAGTTAATTCAATAATAGCCAAATCACTCTATGTTTGGCACCCAGATGCCAGCAAGGGAACCATAGATTGACAGTAAACACGATGTGTAATGAAGCTCAAATCTTTGTCGTGCATGTTCATTCATTGTGATGAAATGATTACATTCTAGGATTCAGAACATGGAAGTAATATGCTACCTGTTGCAAGGTATTCTGGTGCAGCATATCCATAAGTCCCCATCACCCTTGTGGAGACATGGCTCTTGTCACCAGTCGGTCCATCCTTTGCCAGCCCAAAATCAGAGAGCTTTGCATCATAGTTCTGAAAATACAGTCTGTCTATCAGATCACCAGTTAAGCTATCTTGTGAACACAAAGGATAATAGTTCTGAGGACTCCGTACCGCATCCAAAAGGACATTAGAGGTCTTGAAATCACGGTAGATGACTTTAACCTTGTCACTGTGGAGAAATGCGAGCCCTTTTGCTGCTCCAAGGGCAATTTTCATCCGAAGGTTCCAGGAGAGCGGCTGAAAATGCGTACTCCCTGCATTTTACAACACATTTTAGCATGTTGTATTCCAAATTGTAAATCAGAAGCTAGCAACTAGGAAAGTACAAAAAAAAACTACTTACTCCTGAAAAGATGATTTTCCAAGCTACCACGTGGCATGAACTCATAAACAAGAAGACGCTGCTCATCTTCGACGCAGTACCCAACGAGCCTTACAAGATATGGGTGTGACAACTGTCCAAGATAATTCACTTCAGCCTGCACAAATTGAAAGGAAGATAATGTCATACACAGTGCAAACTTGACAGGAAAGAATCAGCCAGTGGGTACTAACCAGCCATTCCCTGTGACCCTGGTGGCCTTCCTGATTCAACTTCTTTACAGCAATGACCATCCCTGTGCCTGGCTTAGTTGGTGCGAGCGTCTTCTCATCGATCCACCCTTTGAAGACTGATCCAAAGCCTCCCTCACCAAGCACACTGTCTGGCCGGAAGTTTCTGGTGGCAGTCCTCAGCTCATTGAAGGCAAAGGCCTTGACATTTGCTGCCTCCAGGATCTCATCCTCGCTCCGTGGTGTTGGCGGCACCGAGGCTGCAGACACACTGGAGTTGCTAGCATACTTGGATGTCCCCCCTAAACAACAGAAGACAGTACAAATTTTCAGGCCGTGGTCCATTAGATTTTAGCCTGATCAAGTTGTTGTTTCTTTGCTTGGTTTGGGTATTAAAAGGCAAAAACTTCACAGATAAGTTAAGAGGTTGCACCAAAAGTATTGAACTTTCTGCATAATACAGTCAATAACATTGAAAAAAAAGCACGCAGATTTTGGTAGAAAGTAGCACCAAAATTAGAATTTTCCACTTAGCCTGATTTGAGCTTCTGCACTTGGAACGAACAAATACTAGCAACAAAGGAAAAGTCAGATAAAGTTATATGTGCGTTTCCATTGGAAGCTTCCTTTCCTACTCCTAGTCTGGAGAAGGAGAAGAATTGAGCTTTACGCATGAAACAAATCCAAGAAGAGCTCAAACTAGAACTTATACGCACGCACTACCAGTGCTAGGAGACAAGGCATGTGATTGGTGACCCTAAACAGCCTGTAGGAAGCCATTAAAAAGGGGATTAAATTAACATAACCTATAGTCCTATACTAGTAACACACAAGTCAGACACAATTACACAAATCACAAAATTCCCAACACAGAGATATGACTGATTGATTGGATACTTCAGAAATTTTTTTTAAAAAAAAAACTAAAGGAAAAAAAAAGGAATAAACATAGCATACATGTCTAGATTCTAATCACCATAGTAAGAAATGCTATATGGAGGAAGGAAGAAGAGAGGAGAAAGGTGAGACGCACCAGAAGGGGAGGAGGCGCTGCGGCAAGGGCTCTCCGAGCTGATCTTGGCGCCCCAGCAATTCCCCATGGCGAAAATCCACCACCACCAACAACAACACCTTCACCTCGGAGGTAGTAGAGCCCAAGAAGCACCACACCTAACTCACAAAAAGACGCCTCCTTTTCGCGGGAATCGAATCGACAAAGGCTCAAGAACGAGAGGCCAGCACGGCACAGAAGCCACAAGAAGCGATCAGAACAGCTGAAATCGAATCACGAACCAGGACACCTGCTCTCCTCTCCGGCTCCTCAAAACTAAATCAACTACCTACTACTCCTCCCAATCCTCTCTCTGTTCTTCTTCAAGGAGATACGAGATAGAGAGATAGAAATAGATACAGATAGGAGATGAGAGGGAGGGGAGCAAGAGATTTGTACTATGGAAGAAGTTGGGATGAATGGATCAAAGGATTGGTGGGAGAGGAGATTAAAGGGGATATGTATCTGTGACTCTCGTGCTTGCCTGCCTTAGCTGAGGGACTCAACTCTGTTGACCTTTTGAGCATGAGAGCGACGCACAGCATGCAACCATCAGCTGCTGCCTTTCGATTTCTTTCTCCTTCTTCTAGAATTCTACTCGAAAGAAAGAGGAAGGAGGAGAGGAAGATGAAGAGGAGGAGGAAGCCATTAATGGTGGTTGGGGAAGAAGGAAAAAGCCTTTGCAGGCTTGTAGCCGCCATCCTCAACCTCAACCTCTTGTGGCGTCCCTACCCACGCTCTATGACATGTGGGGCCCACTGCGAAGATGCCGATGGATCTGAGCCGTCGGATGGGCATCCAACGGATGGATTCGTGTTCTTTTTTTTTTCTGTTTTGCTTGGCTGCAGGGAGACTGGAGGGACAGGTCATGTATCTAGGCAACATATCCTATGCACACAGGCCCTCACGTGTACACACGTACACACTAACTAAAAAATGTCACCAAAAAATCTAGAAAAAATCATACACATACTTTCAATTGTATTACACCTAGAGTTAAAATATTAACGTCAAATTTATTATATTTTAGCCGTAACAAAAAAACAAAAAATCTGACAGTTTTAAGGTTGTAATTTTATCAGAATTTTATATTTTTTGTTATTCTCTATGTAGAATGAATTTGAAGATGCGACTTTGCACGTAGATATAATACTATTGAAAGTACATGTATGAATTTTCCTAAAATTTTTTTTGATAATTTTTAGTTGGTGTACACGGTGTGTACACACGAGGGCCTGTGTGCATAGGATACGCTCCACGAGGGCCTGTGTGTATAGGATACGCTCCCATGTATCTAACCTGAGTTGAGTCAGCATTGATATGATCATGTGTACACACATGAAAGGTTTGTTTCAACATATTTTTGTATTCTAATAAATGTGATTCAATTCTATCGGGGTAGCAACAAGTAAATCGGAACAAAACTTGGCATTTCGGCACATCTACCATATCACGCGGAAAGGGACGATGGATGAGCTACCTGTATATCGACTAGAAAACTAACAAGTGTCCATAGAAGTCACGTGCACCATTCTATTTTTAAAACGTGATTATTTTTCTTATTGAAAATTAGTTTATTATAAGCATATGTGGTATATCAAAAATGTAAAGAAATTTTTTTATGACAACATTTTTGTATTCTAATAAATGTTATTCAATTCTATGAGGCTAGCAACAAATAAATCGGAATAAAACTTAGCATTTCGGCACATCTACCATATCACATGGAAAGGGACGATTGATGGGCTACTTTTATTCGACTAAATCAACAAACTGTACATAGACGTCACATATATAGTCATATACCATTCAATTCTTAAATTTGATTTTCCTTATTGAAATTTAGTTAATTATAAGCAAGCAGTATATCAAAATTGTAAAAAAAAAAGTTTATGAAAACATTTTCGTGTTCTAATAAATGTGGTTCTTTGTAACGTGGTAACAAACAAATCGAAATAAATAGCATTTTGTCATGTGTCCTTTGAGAGGTGTGATTCATGCACCAACAAATACAGGTGTTTATACGTTGTACGAGTTTTAAAAGTATATATATTTCCTATATGCATGTATATATAAGGCACATGTCACTCATGTATATAGTATGGAGTAGGTGCTAAGTGCAAGTTCACACCTATGGGAGGGATGATGTAACGAATATATGGGATAGAATTTATTCTTGCATTATAAGTATCTGTCGCACATAATTTTAAGTTTCTTCTTGTAAAGTACTCCCTCCATTGATTTTAAGGGGCACATTTTGATTTCAATAGACCAAAGTATGTTGATTTTGATTAAATATTAGTAAAATTATAAGTATATTTAGTATATAAAATTTGCAATTGATTCATATTTAAAAGTGGTTTTACGTATATATTTAGGTTTTACAGCTTACTAATGATATAGTATACTACAACAAAATAGTTACAAATTTTAATCTCCACACAACTTTTAAATTAAAATATGCCTTATAAAAATCAACACAATAGCAGCCACTACTACTCTTTACAAACGTTGTACTATCTTTGTGTGGGTTGTTTTAAAAAAAACTGCTAGAAAAACGTAATAATGAAAAAACCTCTCAAAATCAGTTCTAAAATCAAAATTTTAGATTTTAAATTTAGCTATGACTGATAAGTCAATAAGGAGTTACAATTGTTTACAAATATTTAGTCATCCAATGAGAATAGCACGAATTAATAAGTTAATTAATTAATCAGGTAGAGGTTTGGTACGTAGATCTCGGTGCAGAGATGTACGCGGATGTGTGGACGGGCGTGTTGATTCATTCACAAGTTGCCTTGCCACCAGGGGACACAACTATCATATTTCTAATTTCTAATTAACCTAGTTGACCTGTATTACCTGCAATATAATTAATGTTAATTGCACATACATATATATATATATATACATATATACATATATATATATATATATACATATATATATATATATATATATATATATATATATATATATATATACATATATACATATATATATATATATACCTGCTGCTTGCTTGCTACTACCTCCATATTTTAATGTATGACGCCGTTGACTTTTTATCCAATGTTTGACCATTCGTTTTATTCAAAAAATCTATGCAATTATCATTTATTTTATTGTGACTTGATTTATCATCAAATATCTTTTAAGCATGACATAAATATTTTCATAAAAATTAAATAAAACGAATGGTCAAACATTGATAAAAAGTCAACGGTACCATATATTAAAAATACGGAGGGAGTACTTGCTAGTGTGCAACTTGGAAATGAACACGTCGGCCAGCTCGTGAATTTTAACCTCTGATCTCATCATTTTCATGTGTACTCCTGATCTTTCTTTCTCAACTGTTTGTTGATTTTTTTTGCTCGTGTGTTGTCATTATTTTCTTTGTTTTTTTTACATGTCGTTTTAAATATCTGACACTGGCTAGCGTCTGCTAATACGTACGCATGTGTTTTTAATAAGACGTACGTACTCTTGCCTGGACATAAAGAAAGACTATCATGCGTGAATATGTAACCAAATTGTTGAAACATTTCTAAAAAGAATATGTAACCATCAGTACAGCTATAAAAAAAATAGACATCATGCGTGAATCGTGATCGAAACATTAGTTCTTGGTAAGAATTCGTCTACTCCGGCTGATATAATTAATTGGTAAATATATTTTTCCCAACTGTACGAGATCATGAGGTCAATCTTTCCGGTAAAAGTGGACTCTTTTTTACTTTACCATGGCATTAGCTAGCAGGTAGTACAATATATATGTACGATCGCAACAATAACTATAATTGTATCAACATTAGTACGGATGAAGACCTTTGGCGAGCTAAAAACCAATATAATTAAGCAGATGCGATTCATTGATCATGACTCATCAGGTCCTAATTAGCCAACGAATTAACCAATTACCTGCCACGAGTTGACCAGAAACCATGCGTGCATGTTGCACAAATTAAATCAAAATAAAAAACCATACGGTCCAGCATATCCTTCGATAGATCATAATATGGCTCCGTTAGAATCTGATTATATGATGAATATCAAGTGCGCACGTAAAACGAGATAAGTCATTAGCATATAATTAATTAAGTTTTAATTATTAAAAAAAATAAAAATGGATTTACTTGGTTTTTATAGCAAAATACACTGTTTATTAATTTGAAAAGCGTGCTAACAAAAACTGAGGAAAAATCCAGATGTTGTGGATGTTGTTGGAGTTTAGAACAGGACCTATGTCATAATATGATCAAAACTGGTTAAAATACTGGTTAGGTCATATCATATTTATAGTTAAAAAAGATTTTAGTACCAGACAACATAGCCATCGATAATTAATGAAACACCAATATTTAAGATATACATGTAGCTCTAGTCATTTGAAGATTCTTATAAAAATACGATAATATATTTATAAAAATAAGTGTACATGTGTGTGAACGAACGTGTCTTCGTACTGTATTTTGGGAGAAAAATATATAGCTAGCTAGAAGTATATTTACCGGCTCGATATGAGATGGCCTAATTAATTAAGCTGATGGCGACACCCAAAAATGAGCACTAGCTAACTAGAGAGGAGGTTGGCTATGTCGGCACGGTAGGGTTAAAAGGTTATCTTCTTTTGTTTTATTTTTCTTTTTTATTTTTTAGATAGATGCATTTTGTGTTCCGGTTGATCCATGTATCACGCTTCAAAGTGATCAAACCCGACAGTGACTGCCTGTCCTGGTACGGCAGCTTATATTGACGAGAGCACCCCATGGATCGGATTTTACAATCATCAACCAAGTTTGGCTAGACACCCTCACACATTATATTGATATAAAAATGCTAGATACTAACTCGATCCGTTCTAAAATATAGATATTTTTAGAGTTGAACATGTGTATTACAAAAAGATAGAATTAAATGAAGGTTAGTTGTGATTGGTTGAGAAGTAGAGGTATGTGAGAGAATTGAATGATGAAACACTGGTGGAGAAACCATCTTTGGTCGGTCGGCTAAATTCCACAATAGTCCCGGTTCTAATAAAAATCGGGACTAAAAAGCATTTTTAGTCCCGGTTTAAAAGTTGAGGGGTAAAAATTTCTAAAAAGCATTTTTAGTCCCGGTTTAAAAGTTGAGGGATACTTTTTGATCTTTAGTCCCGGTTCAAGATCATTTTTAGTCCTGGTTCAATAAGTTGTCGGGTTCAAGACATTGTCGGGTTCAAGACAGACCCCAATTATTTTTATTCCCGGTTGGTATAAACAACCGGGACTAAAAGTAGATCTTTAGTCCCGGTTGTTTATACCAATCGGGAGCAAAAAGTACCCCGAGCCGCGCGCCATCGATACTTATCCGCGCGCAATTCCTCTCGATCTCCTCCCCTCTCATTAACTCCTTCTCCATCCCTTCCTCTCCCCTTCCCCTCCCGTTCCTCCCCTTCCCTTCTCTGTAGCGGCGGCCAGGCGGGAGCGGCGGCGGCCGAGCTGGCGCGGCAGAGGCCGAGAGGACGGGGGTCGGGAGGCCGGCGGCACCCTCCCCTCGATCTGCTGCCGGATTTTTTTTTTCAACTTATGGTTCATTGGATTTGATTTGTGATGTATGTGATATTGGATCTGATCTGTGATGTATTTGAGTTGTGATGTATTTCTTTTAGGATTTGTGATGTATTTTTTGTTTGAGATTCTGTGATGGGATGTATTTGTGATCTGTGGTGTATTTCTTTCCAAACTGTGATGCATTTCTTCCCAGATCTGTGATGCTATTGGGGATATCTAGGGAGCGGATCAATTTTAGCAAAAAAAAAATCAAATCAACCGGGACTGCTCCCACCATCTTTAGTCCTGGTTACTAAAGATGGATTTTTAGTCCCGATTAGTCATCTTTAGTCCCAGATTCGTAGTCCCGGTTGTATAACCGGGACTATAGGGGGATCCCAACCGGGAGTAAAGCCCCTTTCTCCACCAGTGAAAGATCGTGGTTGGTTGAGAAGAAAATGTTAGTGGAGAGGTTATATTTTGGAAGAATCTTGAACGCTACATGTTGTTATATTTTAGAACGGATGTAGCAGGCTAGTAGCTTATTTTTTATTGCCTAGGAATGTACTCCCTTCGTACCATAAAAAAATCAATACGAGATGTAACGTTTCCTACTATAATAAATCTGGACATGGGTATGTACGGATTCACTGTACTAGCAGGAAACATCACATCATATTCTAGGTTAATTAAATTTTTATGGGATGGAGAGTATTGTACACACTCTCCTCTTAAAAAATAACTGAATTATGTCACCCCTATCAATAATTAAATGTAATTTCTTACAGTTTCACTTATTATAGGGTGTTATGCGTGCATGTAAGTAAGTATCTCCGTTTATTTAATTTAGTCATTGCATCATTGTTTTTTCACTCCAGTAAATTTGTGAGGGCGTTTTACTAAAGATTTTTACGTATTTATAAGCGTAATAGTTGATGCTACCGTGTCAATATTGTATACTCTTAGCAATAGTTGTATATATATGATGCCGTCCTAAAATTTAGAAGTCGGAGTGACACATCACTAAACAATATGCTGACGTATATCAGTATATCACAATCACATATAGTCAATATGTTATTGCCAATTACTACCTCCTTCCCTAAATATTTGACACCGTTGACTTTTTTAAACATGTTTAACCGTTCGTTTTATTCAAAAACTTTTGTGATATGTGTAAAACTATATGTATACATAAAAGTATATTTAACAATAAATTAAATGATAGAAAAAGAATTAACAATTACTTAAATTTTTTGAATAAGATAAACGGTCAAACATTTTTAAAAAAGTCAACGGCGTCAAATAATATTTTGGGATGGAGGTAGTATATATATTAAGGTCCTTTGTCGTAGCCTAGCTAAGCCATCTAAATTCTACCGACGTAATCGTGCTAGGAAGCGTCATTAATTACTCCCTATGTATTTTAATTTAATGTACGACGTCGTTTAACAATTCTTCTGGTTAAAAAAAATTATATAATTATCATTTATTTTATTATAATTTAATTTATTATAAAATATTCTTTAAGCATTACATAAATATTTTTATATTTGTATAAAAATTTTAAATAAGACGAATGATCAAACGCTAGTAAAAAAGTCAACGGCGTAATACATTAAAATACGGAGCGAGCATATGAATTAGTCTTGTAATATATATAGTGTGTGTAGGAGTGCACGCGTCTACACTGTATTCTTTTTTTTAAAAAAAATGATAGTAGATGTGGCCATAGTGAATTGTTGGGGTGAACAATTGGTGAGGCCGGAATCAATCTGTGGATGAAAAGGACAGAAAAGAAAAGGAAAGAAAGTGGCTGGGCACATGTACCATGCATATCCATGGATAGATGATCAAGACATCGATCAAGTAGAAATGAAGGAAAGGAAAAGAGCTAGCTAGGCGCCACCACCACTTGATGCCGACGTATACGTGATATATATATATATATATATATATATATATATATATATATATATATATATATATATATATATATATATATATATATATATATATATATATATATAGTAAATTTGTTTGGTGCTCCATGGTGCCCGGGCACCATTGTTGAAATTGAGTATATACCCAATTCAAATGAGCATGAAACTTTTTTAATTATTTAGGTATTAATATTAACTACTTTACTAACTAGTTGAAAGCAAGTTTGAACTGAATTTGAACTTGTTTTTGTTAGATTTTGATTCTAGGTATATAGCATCCATACATATAATTAGTTAGGTATGTAATCATGGATTGTGAAATAAAGTTAAATTTAAGTTGTTTTGTTGATAGGTATAGGTATGAATCAAATTCTTATAACTAGGTATATACTCACAATTTGAAAATTTTGAAAAATTTGAGTGATTTTGTGCATTTGAAACCATGGTGCCCCATATGAGTGTCCTATATATATATATATATATATATATATATATATATATATATATATATACATACATACTTCATACGTTTCACGATGAAAGTCACTCAATCATTTCCTATATTTATATTGATGTTAATAAATTTAAACACTGTGAAACGGAGGGAGTATACGTGTCCTTTGCTCATGTATGACAATGGACTAATTATTCTAATCATCATCTGCTGATATAAATAAAAATATATGTAATTAATATAAATACTAGTATTTAATTTGGGTCTGATTGGTTAGAACAATTTCATTTTTGGTGGCTCACGTTAATTGGCTAGCGGCGTGTTAAGTAAGACACTCATCGATCTATCGATTCATTAATATATGCACGAGATGGCTTGAAAAATTCACAGCAATTTTAGATTTTCAGGGTCGAGAGAGAGCGATCGATTGATGGAGATGTATGCATTGTACCGGCCTACTATATTTACTGCTCTCTTGCATTGCAAAAAGTATCAGTTTGTCGGCTAGCTCTAGCCAGCTCATACTGCCCCTGTTCTTTTTATTTAATTTCAATATATTGAGACAATAAATACACATGTTTTTATTATTAGTAGTGTTCTTAATTTCTACCTATATATTTGTAAGTTGTAGTATATAACGATTACAATAATTGGATATAGTTTCTTTAAAAGCAAAAGCAGGAATGAATTCTATTATTAAAAAAGATATATTTGTAGTAATTAAAAATTATATGAAAAATATTCATCATGAAAAATCTGTGAATATCATTTTTTGCATGTTAACCCTTAAATTTATATGCTAATAATTTAATGTCATCATATTTGACCGTATGTATTTTAGGGTAAAATGTTAATTAGAGCGGAGGTAGTAACAACTTGCAAGGGAGCATGCATGCATGTATGAAGCAATCAGCTCTGACCAGGAGTTGTTGTAGTTGTCGTTGTAGTTGGACCTTTGGTTTGATTTTGCGACGAACTTTTGGGCTGTCCGTTTCACACGTACTCATACACGCTACATTAATATTTCTTCAGATTCAGGGGTACATACAGCTAACCTACCTAGCTCATCAATTAATACGTACTTCATCCGTATTTTAATGTATGATGCCGTTAACTTTTCGATCAACGTTTGACCATTCGTTTTATTCAGAAATTTTGTGCAAATATAAAAATATTTATGTTCAACTTAAAGAACATTTGATGACGAATCAAGTCACAATAAAATAAATGATAGTTACATAAATTTTTTGAACAAGACGAATGGTCAAATATTAGACAAAAAATTAACGACGTCATACATTAAAATATGGAGGTAGTACGATATTTATATGAAGCTTATCTCTCTCTGTATGTATGCCGCACGGTTAGCTTGGAGTACAGTGATGTGCATGCATGCTTGCTTGCTTTTGGAAGAAAATTAAAAAGAGGGATTATTCTCATGACTGACCTGACCTATGCATGCGTTCATGTATGTATCACAAAAAAGATTGGAACAACACGTACGTCAATACATATATGTGCCAATCCTATCCACCTCATCATGCTCGTGATTCAACCACTGCCTGGCTGCATCTGCGCAAGCAAACACACGAAACATCTCGTAAAATTTGATTATCACACACACACATATATATATATGTCATTGGTACGTATATGGTATATTGTTTAGAAACACAATATAAGCACTTGTGCTCGTAATTAACACGCACACACTAGTAAGTATCATCTATCACTGAAAGAATAATCACCCATAAATATGAGCATCTGCATCAAGTTTAGTACTTCAATCCGGATGGATATATTTCACCACAAGAATTCAAGAAACATACTCCCACAGTTAGAGAAATCAAATCTAATACGGGATGTAACATATCATAGTACTAAAATATGTCACATCTCGTATTAGGTTTGTTTTTCATAGGACGGAGGGAGTAACTAGTTGAGCTTTACCCTATATCTAGAGAAAGAAATAAACAGTGAGAGAGAAAAAAAAAGACACATGAATCTCTGTAGATCATCTAGTTGGTCGCCGCTCGCCATGTGATTGGCATTCAGGAAGGCGCTTGTGGGTTCCATTCCGGCCCATCTAGTATAGCCAGCTTGTTAATATCCTCCCTGGGCCGGCCCAAGTAACCCACCCACTGGCATGGTCTGCTCCGGCCCAACTAACCCACGACTGCTTGGCTATTTCCGTCATTTTCACGCTGAAAACCCCCCTCCTCCCCTCCACCACAATCGTCCCGCCAAACTCGAACGCAACCGCCTCCCAATCCCCATCTCCGCCGCACGATCCGCCTCGAGATTCGCGGAATTTCCCTTCCCTCCCTCTTCTCTCGTACGCCACCCACTGATTGCGCCACGTCATCTATATTACTACACCTCTCACTCTCACTCTCAGTCCATAACTGACCAAGAATCTATCGCTACCCATCGATCCAGGAGGAAGGAGGCCAGTGAGAAGCTTCCAGAAGGTTCGATCGGGAGCGCGGAGTGGTGATGGCGGCGGCGGCGGAGCTGTCTCGCGGGGCGGTGGCGGCGATGTCGCGGATGGAGCAGGGGCTGCGGCCGGTGCTGCAGGTCACCGACGTGCGGCCTGCCGCCGGTCGATACCTCGTGGCGCTCTTCGACGGAACCAAGTCGGGGCAGGGGGTGCTCGTGGCGTCCATGGCGCACCTCGTCAGGGCATGCGCCATCCGCGCCGGCACCATCATCCGCGTCCTCGACTATCTCTGCATCGACACAAGGTGACCGTACAAATCCTTCTTCTGCTCTAATTTTCACTCTTATGTACTTCCTCCGTTTCACAATGTAAGTCCGAATGTGGAAAATACTAGAAGGATTTACATTGTGAAACGGAGGGAGTATTTCATATACCAGATGCTTGCCTGCTGTCTGGTCGATCTTTGCGATCCAAATTAATCGGGGAGCCGCTCTTTGATCATTTGATGCGATGTGTCGTGTACTCGTGTGTGTGTTGAAAGGGGGAGATTTTGGTGAAGTTTTTGTTTTTTTTCTTTCTGTCTGACTGCTAAGGTTAACTTTTGTTCTGAAGTTGTTATGCCGAAATTAGTTTTTTGGGAGTTCTAAACTAAACGGCGCTAGGGAGGGACTGATGAATAACAGAGCCAGCTCTTTATTACTGAACCAGGACAGAAATTATATCTGAAAAAATAACTAAAGTCCAGTCTACTTTTGTATAGAACTTGCTTCTTTTCCAATTTATTTACATCATGTAGCATCCTAATACAAAGTTATGACATAAAATGGACGATCTACTTGTTACTATGGATAAATTAAATAATATTACTATGTATTATATAAATCTAAACAAATATCTCGGAACAAGTGGTCCAAATGATGCAGTATAAGAAATCTTTTCACAAGTCGTGTTTTTAGAAGCATCGAGCAAATAATCCGATGGACGCTATTTCATTTTGTTATTTGAACTTAAGCTTCCAAATACTCCAACATATGTCAACTGTTACTGAAAATTGTATCAACAACTAACTTTTCGTATCATGTCTTGCTGGTTTCTTAATTCAGGGTTATTATCGTTGAGCAACTTGAAATACTGCAAATTAACTGCGCACTGATCGGAACTAGCAATACTCATGGGCGCCTTACTTAGCCTAACACCCATTGCTGCACTGAGCCCATACAAGTGTAAATGGACAATCAAGGCCAGGGTGACTGCAAAATCTGGTCTCCAGCACTTGAGCAATGACAGAGGTGAAGCAAAGTTCTTCGACTTTGATCTGCTTGATGAGCAGGGCGGTGAAATGCTCGCAAAATGCTTCAGTTCGGCTGCTGAAAAGTTCTATGGCCTAATTGAAGTTGATAAGGTCTACTTGATATCCAGAGGATTAGTGAAACCTGCACAGGAGCCTTTCAACAGTGATTATGAATTAGCTCTGGATGCCTCAGCATCAGTAGAGGTCTGTTCCAGTGATGTTATATAATGGATCATCTCGTTCAGTTGGCAATAATGCAGGGCTCGTCTCCAGTCCATGCTGCTTCAGGTGCAAATCAAAGGTTGTCCAGGGCTATGTCTGCTCACTAATAATAATGCTCTTAGTGATACAGTAGGCAGGGTACTGCTAATTAAAGGGCACTTAGCGAGATGCATCCAGCTACTTTGTTAAATGTTGAATGCTAGTTATGTAAGAACTCTGTCATTACCATTATATTTCTGTTGATGTGTTGAATATCCCATCGTTCGAGTTATGTCTGATAAGTCATGGAAAAATGAACGAAGCAACGAAAGATAATGTGTGCAAAATTTTGTATCTATGTTATTAGCGACTAAAAACCAACACTGAAAAAGAGACCGATAAGAAATAAAATTCTAAAATCAACTCTAAAACTAAAATCTGAAATTCAAAAATTAGATGCATTTGCTAAGATAATCTAACAACCAGACGATGATGGTGCAATAGGATAGCAGGGAAATGTGCATGATCTTCTGTTTGGTCCTTCGGTTTTGCCTCAAGTGTGGACTACTAAATAATGCAGGAAATGCTGCTCTTGTTGCTGTATCAGACATTTGATTTTGCGGTATGTTTAGCAAGTTTCTTTGTCACGCAAACGAATATAATCTAAAGAAAATTTGAACAATACCATTGGAGAAATACGTGAGTTGTAAAATACCATTGTAGTGAGAATGACATGAGAGATCTAGATCCACATGTCAATGACACTACTTATTTTGCTGACATGTTAATTGAAACACGACGCTGTCAACCTAAAATGCTTGCTTCTTGATACAAAATCACGTTTTGGTAACGCTGCCATACAAAATCACGTTGCTGCGTTCGTTTTGGGGAGTTCCCAAATCTCCACCCTCGTTTTTCGCACACACGCTTTTCAAACCGCTAAAAGGTCCGTTGTTTATAAAAAGTTTCTATACGAAAGTTACTTAGAAAAATCATTTTGATCCAATTTTTTAGCTAAATATTTAAATAATCATGCACTAATGGATCGTTTCGTTTTTCGTGCGCAGCAGATGTATTGGGACAGTGATCACGGAAAAACTGCCTAGGGTGACAGAGCGGTGCACCCTGTTCCCAACCAAAATAGTGATAATGGAAAACGGAACGGTCCATTAACGCATAATTAATTAAGTATTAGCTATTTTTTTTTAAAAAAATGGATCAATATAGATTTTCTAAGCAACTTTTATAATTTTTTTTTAAAACACACCTTTAAAAAACGAGAAAGCGGAAAATGAGAGAGATGGATTGGTAACTAGCGTGTGCGCCTGGTGTCATGTTCATTTCACTTCCTACTAGTAACGCTTATTTCTTGGACGAGAAAGGAAAGCTCTGAATTACCCTTGGGCTTATCAATCGTACAGGCCCATCTCAATTCCCAAAAGGCCAATTCAGCCCAATTCTATTCCACCCACCAAGGGCACTACCGTCATTTCGCAACGAAAATTTCTCTCTCCGTCCGTTTCCCTCCACTCCTCCAGAGAGCGCGCGTCCCAAAAACTTCCTCCACTCCACCCACCCGCATAGACCTGGTCCATACACCGAACCCACATCCCCACCCTCCAAACCGCCTCGAGATTCGCGCAACCGCCCTAGCCTTCCCCACTATAGTACTCTCCGCCTCCTCCCTAGGGTTCCCAAAAACCCTCCCCCGAATTCGAAATCGAATCGCCTCCCACATCTCTCTCTCTCGCGGAAGCTTCTGGAAGGTTCGGAGGCGGCGGCGGCGGAGGCGGCGGGGACGACGATGGAGCCGCAGCTGACGCCGGGGGCGGTGCAGGCGATAGCGGAGCACCCGGACGGGACGGGGACGATCCAGCCGGTGCTGCAGGTGGTGGACGTGCGGCCCGTCACCACCAAGAACGCGCCGCCCACGCCCAAGCCCGCCGAGCGCTTCCGGATGATGCTCTCCGACGGCGTCAACACGCAGCAGTCCATGCTCGCCACCGCCCTCAACCCCCTCGTCAAGGACGCCACGCTCCGCCCCGGCACCGTCGTCCAGCTCACCGACTTCATGTGCAACACCATCCAGGGTAAAAGGTCAGCAAACCACCACAACACGCGCCCCCCTTCCTCTCTTCCCCTCTGATGAGACTCTTGCAGTCTTTTTGGTTTGGATGTTTCCGCGAGAAAGATTGGATCTTGATGTGTTAGTTCATCTGGTTACTGTTTTGAGAAAAAAGATTTGGTCTTGCGGCGATGCGCGGGTTGGGAGAGGAGGGCTCTGTGTTTAGGTTTCTTTGGATTGCGATGTTTGCAATCCAGATTGGATAGTTCAAGAAATGACGGGTTATAATTGGTGCATGCCTTCAGGTGTTTGTTCTAGATGGCCTGTGTCAGTTTCCACTTAACTGTAATGCCTTCTCAGATAAGGAGAATAGTTGCTTCTTTTCCCCTTTGGGGTGTTCGTTATGTAAAGATGCCAATGCAACGAAATATTTGTCTGTTACTACATTGTTGGGATTCTGTGATTTACATCTAGATCTAATTCGCACAGTAGTCTTTATGTCAACATGGGGGACAGTGAGAAGGTCACATTGCTTTTTCAAGCATTAATTTTTTTCTTCTACTCAGTATACCTTGTTCGTTCTGGTCTGTCTGGCATGCGATTACGGAGTTCTCAACTTTTCATTAAGTTACAGTTGAACAGGCTGTCCTTATTTTGAATCATCATGGTAAAATTGGGGGCTATTGTGTTGATTCATTGTATTGAACTCTCAAATGAATGTTTTGTTTAAGTATGTACGGTGGCTTGCATGTGATCTCATCTTATCTGTAGGTTCTAAGGAAGGTTTGCTTTTCCATCTCTACATTGATTTCAGATGCGCTTTTATCTTTGTCATGTTTCATCCAACGAGATTTTATCACTTTGGGGTTCTATTGTTAGCAGTTGTCCAATGTCGACAAATATTCAACCTGCAAATATGTTTCAACTTGCAACTAATTTGCTGGCTAGGTTGGTTAGTAAAAGTGTACTGTATTTTGAGTAATTTCTCAGAGTATTGTCTTTCATTTAGGTTTCCATTAAACCATTGAACAAGTCACAACGGCATGTTGCAATGGGCTGAACTGTAGAACTATCATTCATAACTAAGTGTGCAAACCTTGCTTTTTCTGTAGGGGTGTGTTTATCTTTTCACTGTTTCATCACCCTCAATTGAGAAATCTTACCTATTTATGGTTTATGTGCTCATTTCTGTGTATCAGTTTGGTTGATGTGATTTAGAACTGGCCTAATGCCTTCTAAAAGGAACATCCTATTTGGAACTTCAGATTATTTTTTCTTCATTTTTATGAATCACTATGACCACTATAGTTGACAATTCTTCAATTCTTTTTTTCAGGATTATTATTGTTGTGAAACTTGATGTTCTGCAAAATGACTGCATTGTAATTGGGAACCCTAAACACTATGAACCAAAGAGTCTAACTAAGGAGCAAGACCCTAACTTACAGGCCAGTGTGGCTCAAACCAATAATGGAACCTATTCTGGTGGCGCAAGCATGCTGGGCCCCTCCGTTGCGCCAAGGGCAGAGCAGGCTGCTAGCAACAGTTCATATGGTGGACCTTATAATAGTGCTCAAGGAATGTTGGGTTCTTCTATTGGCAGGACAGTTGAACCTGGTCCTGCAAATGTTTCTGCTGTTGGCTCTTACGGTGCAATATCAGCACAGAACACAACGAATGCCAACATGATGCAGCCTACATCTCAGCTGAACATAATGAATGCCAACACGATGCAGCCTACATCTCAGCTGAACACAATGAATGCCAACACGATGCAGCCTACATCTCAGCTGTCCTCGTTGAACCCTAATCAAAACCAAAGGTTTGCAGCTCCTGCTTCGGGTGGAGTCTTTGGCCCTCCTGGCAATGCTTATGGGCAGCCTTCACGTCCTTCATATCAGCAGCCACCTCCAGTGTATATGAATAGAGGGCCTGCCTCTAGGAATGACTCTGCAACTCGTATCATCCCAATTACCGCGTTGAATCCATACCAGCCTAAGTGGACAATCAAGGCAAGGGTGACAGCAAAGTCTGATATCAGGCATTGGAGCAATGCCAGGAGTTCAGGAACAGTTTTCTCGTTTGATCTTCTTGATGCACAAGGTGGAGAAATTCGTGCACAATGCTGGAAAGAATCGGCTGATAAGTTTTTTGGCCAAATTGAGGTTGGTAGGGTGTATTTGATATCTAGAGGATCACTGAAGCCCGCCCAGAAGAAGTATAACACTTTGAACCATGATTATGAAATAACTCTGGATATCGGGTTATCAACTGTCGAGGTTTGCTCTGATGATGATAACAGCATCCCCAGGCTGCAGTACAATTTCCGGCAGATCAGCGAACTAGAGAATATGGCTAACGAGACCATTGTTGATTTACTTGGTGTTGTTACATCAGTTAGCCCTTCTGCAACAATAATGAGGAAGATCGGCACTGAAACCCGGAAAAGGTCTATTCAACTGAAGGACTTGTCTGGCCGGAGCATTGAAGTAACATTATGGGGAAACTTCTGTGATGCTGAGGGTCAGCAGTTGCAGTTGCAGTGTGATTCTGGTTCGAACCCTATAATTGCTTTTAAAGGTGCCCGTGTGGGTGATTTTAATGGCAAATCAGTGAGCACAATTGGTTCAACCCAGTTAATTATAAATCCAGACTTTCCTGAGGTGGAAAGGCTGAGGCAGTGGTACATGACAGAAGGAAAAACTGCTCCTTGCATTTCTTTATCTCGAGAAATGCTTAATATGGGCCGGACTGATGCCCGCAAAACAATTGCACAGATCAAGGATGAAAATTTGGGACGATTAGAGAAGCCAGACTGGATCACTGTTAAGGCTGCAATCTCCCATGTGACTACTGAGAGTTTTTGTTATCCAGCTTGCCCAAAGCTCTTGCCCGTCGGGAGGCAGTGTAATAAAAAGGCAATAAATAATGGTGATGGGATGTGGCATTGTGACCGATGTGATGAGAGTTTTCAAAATCCTGAATATAGGTACATGCTTAGGTTCCAGATCCAAGACCACACTGGTAGTACCTATGCTAGTGCGTTCGATGAGGCAGGTGAGCAGATTTTTGGTCGCAAGGCAGGAGAACTTTTCTCGATAAGAAATGTCGACCAAGATGATGCACAATTTGCAGAGATCATAGAAGGGGTCCGGTGGCATCTATATCTATTCAAACTGAAGGTCAAGGAAGAAACCTACAATGATGAGCAAAGCTTGAAATGCACCGCTGTCAAGGTTGAAAAACTGGACCCATCAAAAGAGAGCAACGTCCTACTTGGAGCGATTGACAACCTTTTACTGGACCCAAAGGGGCAAAGTGATCTTGCCCCTAATGCTGGTTTCACCGATCCGGTAGGCGGTCACGGTGCGCCTACATCTAGCAATGCCTATGCCATGAATACTGGTGGCGTGAATCAGTTTGGGCAGCAAGCGAGTATAAGCGCCGGGATGTCTACTCCACTAGCAGCAACACGAAACTTGCAGACATGCAGCATTTGTGGAGCAAATGGGCACAGCGCCCAGATCTGCCATGTGGGTGCAGATATGGATATGCAGGAAACATCAGCCGGTGGAAGCTCCATGGGTAACTACAACTCCATCGCTGGCAACGGCAGCTCGGAGTGTTACAAATGTAAACAGCCCGGGCACTATGCTAGAGACTGTCCAGGGCAGTCCACTGGTGGCTTGGAGTGTTTCAAATGTAAACAGCCTGGGCACTTTTCTAGAGACTGTCCAGTGCAGTCTACTGGTGGCTCGGAGTGTTTCAAATGTAAACAGCCTGGGCACTTCGCTAGAGATTGTCCAGGGCAGTCTACTGGCGCCCAGCACCAGACATATGGGAATAATGTTGCAGCATCAAGGGGTTACAATAGGCAATCCTTTGTTGGTGGCTACTGAAGTATTTTGCAAGGGAAGAAGCAGCAGCAGCAGCAGCATCTTGATTTTGTTCATCTTGGATGGCATCGGTGTATCGTGTATAGTTGTTAAACCTGCCTTATGTTTATGCCTTTATTACCTCCAATGTCCACTGGGCAGGGAACCTTGTGATCTGGACTTTGTATCGCTACCTTAAAAAGTATATTGTCCTTGTCTGCAATCTTGTAAATTTCAATGCCTGCTTACTGCTTGATCGGCAACTATTTATAGTTCGCCTAAAGTGCTCGCTCTGTAATAATATTTGGGCTTTGCTAGTGTGCTTTCCCCCCCTTTTGGCTGGGAATCTAGATAATCAGATAATGGCAATTGATCTGCTTGGTTCATGCATTTCCCAAGTACTGGATTGTATCATATGGGACTGAAAATTTTCATGACCTGGAGATATTTTCATTATAAATTTTAGAGGAAAAAAAAACATAGCCTTGTGTAACAGCAAGGTTTTCTTCTGTAGTACTACCTCTTTCCAAATGTTTATTTTGAGCTAACCAACGCAAGTGCTTTTGCGGTCAGTGGCATTGCATTGTCAAATGTGGAAGTCATGTTTATCCTCTCTGCAGAGTGTTGCTTGTCTGATGATTCTATAATTTTGTTTTAGCGCCTGGACCTTCTATATCTGGCACTGGCATGATTTACGGGTATGGCTGCATAATCTGGAGAGAGATTTGCATTATAAAGATGAGAGGAAGAAATGCGTACACTTGTGTTACAGCATGGTTTGTGTTTTTACGGCCAGTTGCATTGCATTGTCAAATGTTAGTAGTAGTATGATGCTTTTATATGTTTTTCTTTGGCAATCTAATTTCGCCTATGCCTTGGTTCCGGGTTCTGAGTTCTGACAAGTGACAATTCTCGAACTCATTAAGCACAAGCCTATTTCACCCTTACAACAATTCGGAAGAATATAGATGGGTTTTAAACATTTGATAATATTTGCTCCCCACTCAGATTTGGTTACTCGAAATTGTACAAGACCTGACATTCGTCATCTGGACACTCTAGTAGATAAACGTGCTGGCTGATGCTAGATAAACAGATGTAAAGATGACCACTTCACCATCAACCGTAAAACCGGACGAAGATCACCAAAAATTGATACTTTGGAGCAACGATAGGCAGCTTCGATTCAGATAGCACAATACTTAAAAGACCACATACTAGCATCGAATTGATACATCTCCCCTCCAAATGAGGCTCCAAAAACTATCCATTGTTTGATACAGCAAGCAATAGGATGTGAGAAACTGAGATTGGCATTTGTATTTCACTACTCTCATCTGATGAGACATGACTAGGCTGTAACTGAAGCTGAATCTAAAGAGGAAGATTAGTGTGGGATTGCAGACAAAACTGCTACTACTTCCTTCCTGCACTGCAAGAAGAAGAAATCTGTATCCAGTCTGTGTTGAACCCCATTAAAGCACACACAGCAGCTTCGATTCAGACAGCAAAAGAAACATTCTGATAGATAGCATCAAATTGATACTAGTATTTCGTTTGTGTCAAAAAAACTCTCGATATGTCGTAATCAAAGCTCGAAAATCCCATTTGTTTGATACAGCAGCAACAGCAAGAAAGGAACCCCTACTCCGATCCAGCCACTGAAACAGTACTAATGAATCCGGATTCGCGCATTCATCCTATCTGATGTGATGAAAAGAAGCTAGAGTATAAGAATCTAATCTGGGAGAAGGTTGAGGTCAGTCGTCGAAGGCGGATGAGGGGTCGGCGAGGTGGGCGAAGCGGGCGGCGGAGGCGGAGGAGAGGAGGAGGAACTTGCGGACGCAGGACCTGACGCAGTCCTCCTCCTTCTTGCCGAGGGTTCGCCGGTAGAAGGTGGTGACGCAGTCGGAGAAGCACCGGTGCGACACCCAGTTGTACAGCCGTATCCTGCGTGCACAAAAATCCATCCATCGCTACTCCACTCTCTCTGCGAGGAGGAAGGGAAGGAAAGTAAGAGATTAAACGTACGCGTCTCGGGTCTGGAGCTTGTCGGCGACGGCCTCCATGCGCGCCTTGTCCTCCTCCTCCTCCCCGCCGCCGGCGGCCATGGCGGCGGCGGCGTCCATGCTCTTCTTCAGTAGCAGCACAAGAAGAAGAAGAAGAAGGAGAAGGAGAAGGAGAAGCGTAGCCCAAGCCCTAAGGCCCTTTAGTATAGTTGAAGTGGTGAGATGGGCCGTGGTGGGCCTTCGGTAATTGAGCCCATGGGCTCAACCCCGAAAATGCCAGTGGGCTAGGTGAGGTAAACCGTGCACGTGACGCTTTCAGTTTCTTTTCTTTTCTTTCCTTATTATATCATCAAAAAAAGAAAAGAAAAAGAGAAAAAAAGGTATGGAAGATACTGTATAGTATACGCTAGCAGCATAAGCTCCGTCCGTATAATTATTTCTTGTACGCATATGATGTACAGTATGTATTTTACGAGCTGTATACTACCATTGCGTTGGATTTATGCTGGAGCTATTTGCCTATGTAGTGGAGTATTCTAGAAGGATGCTTGTGCGCCGTCCATTGCCTGCAGAAACGGACGGCGCGGGTGGGTGGGCCCCACAGGGCGGTGACTGACGCGTGGGCCACCACATTGGGATTTGGCTTTGCTTTGCTTTCGTGCCTTGTCAGCCGCTGCCCCCGGCCCCTTCTTCTCCTTCTTCTTCTTCTTCTTCTTCTTCTCCCTCACCATCACCAACAAGAGAGAGGAGGAGTGGATTCATCGATCGAGAAGTCGAGGTAGTACATACGTTGGATTGGATTGGAGGAGGAGAATGCCTCGCGGTGGGTTCTCGGGGTCGATAAGCTCGCCCAGGATCGACGTCGCCATCGACATGGGGAACCCCTTCCTCAACCGCACCGTCGACGGCTTCCTCAAGATCGGCGCCGTAAGTAACCATCTTAATCTATCCCATTCCCCCTCTCTCCTCTTAATCACAAACTCCTAATCCTCCTAAATGCATTTCTTGTTTTGTTTTGCAGGTCGGGGCGTGCAAGGTCGCCGCCGAGGACACATTCGACTGCCTCCACAGAGGTGAGATATCGTCAGTCTTTCTACCCTTTCACCTCCTCTCCTTTCTTCCCCAACTCCGCCCTATCTTGCACAGTTGCATTATACTTCACTATACAAAGTTTCTTTCTTTTTTTTTCACCTTTGGGGCTAGGGCTGCCTGAGCCTCACACCACCAAAATAAATTAAATTGCACGCATCCCAAAGTGGAGTACTCTGGTGGAGTGGAGATTGGGAAATTGAAAGTGGCTTCCAATCTTTGGGTCAAAGGATTATATAATCGAATGAAGGCAACACATCTATGGCCAACAAGTCATGGCTTGTCGATTTATCCTCACCACCAGAGTACAATCTGTATCCATTCATTCACTTCACTGTCGGCTGAAAGGCATATTCCTTTTTTTTTTTTCTTTTTTGGGTTGATGGAGCTTGGCTCACTTGATATTGACAAATCAAATTCAGTTTGTCGATAACAAACAATTTAATAATTCTATTTTATCCAAGGCTCACTTGATGGAGCAAGGCTTTTCTTATGTATCGGCATGGTACCTGCCTGGCACTATATAGTATATACTGCAAAAATATAGCACTAGCATGATGAATACATGACAATAAAATGGGAGTATTTCCATATATACAATAAAATGTGACCGTGTCCTGTTTCTATATACATGTACACAGTGTAACATAAATTCATTCTGTTTCCTTTCCAGGGGATGTTTCAAAGCACAAGCTTGAGCATATGGTCAGTATTTCCATGGACTTCCTTATCTATAAAATTTTCATGGAGTCTGTTCAACATGGTTTTAAGACCTGAACCCATGTTTTCAATTGATGAGTATTTTATACATGCAGCACACACATCTTTGCACCTATCTGAAAGTGAATCCAGTACAAATCCAAAATTAGTGCACCACAATTTCCTGAATATTTTGAATAAATTGATATAGGGATGCCCTTGAATTACCCCACAAAATGGATAAAAGGCGCTATGCAAATCAGGATTTCTATCTTAGTATCAATCCAACATGTTGACATGTTTTCATCTTAAGAAATTCGATATGCAAAACCATCACCCTGCACCTCCATAGCGTAGTTGCACTGTAACTGTGGAATTCTTCTTAAAATGTAGTTGTTTCTTTAGTATTAAGGTTCCATCTATGGTTCACTAATATCCTATGATGAATGCTTTTGCAGCTGAAGAAAATGTGCAAGGAGGGTGCCTATTGGGGTACATTTTTGTTGACTTGCAAATGGATGAATGAATTGGCATATATGCATTTATTCATTTTTTTTCTTATGTCACCTTTTTGCCGGGTCGTTTTCTTATGTTACCTGAGAAACCATTTTTCTCTGACAATATGCAGGTACTGTTGCTGGGGTGTATGTGGGCATGGAGTACGGAGTGGAGAGGATTCGTGGTCGCCATGACTGGGTACTCCCTCCATTTCTTTTTATTTTTTACCATTGGTTATTTTTTAAACTCTAATGAATTCTGAAAACTATGCAACATTATCATAGTATGTTGTGTCATAATATAACTATACAACTTTCACTCACCATAACTAATTGATGTAAAAGTTATTAATGGTCAAAGTTTGAATAGTACCAGCCAACATAACAAGTATTTTGAAATGAAGGTAGTATAGTAAATATCTATAATGGATCTCTCTCATTTTCTGTATTTGATTGAATCTTTAGTTATGTTGAAGGGAAAAATAAATATGCCTTACCTTGAAAAATATTGTCAACCCACTTCAAATTTGACCGGTCCTGTCACATATAAGTACTACTATTATTTTTTGACATTGACAATGCCTAGGCTAAATATCACTTCGACCACCAATTTATATATTAATATATACCAAAAGCTCATAAGTTGTAGTAATAATCTATTCTTTTAGATGAATCCAGCCACATCATTTTCATGTGCCAAATATTCGTAAAGGTACTGCTAAACGAAGTTGCAATAGCTTAACTGCATAAATGAAACTCTTACTGGAGGAGAAAGCCTTATTAAGTTTCTTTTTGGGGGAGAATAGTACTAAACTTGGAGGAGTAAGCCTTAAACTGATTTTCCATGGATAGTTTGTTTTAGTCAATATTTAGATTTATGAACTCCAGTGTTTATTACTCTGTACTGTATAATTTATGCTTGGTGCTATTATTTGATCTTGATTCATTATTTTCCGTTTCCTCCTGGGATTTTTGCAGAAGAATGCTATGATTGGAGGTGCTTTAAGTGGTGCTCTGATCTCTGCTGCCAGCAACAACCACAAAGACAAGATCATCAAGGACGCCATCACCGGAGGCGCTGTTGCAACAGCTGTCGAGTTCATCAACTACCTCACTTAGTCATGTAACTGCGTTTTTGCAGTGGCTTTTGTTGGACAGCAAGAATAAGAGCTTCTTCACTGAAGCCATGTTCAGTTTAATAAAATGTTACCTTGTTCATCCCTGCTTCGTTCCCTGCACTTGTGATCTCAGTACTTATTCTGAGTAATTATTCTCCTGATATTCGTGGCTTGCAGTCGTCAGTATGACCTTGTGATGATTTGTTTTAAGTTGAGAAAAGCCATATTTGCAAGTTGCAGCAACTGAGATTGAAGCTTGTATGCAATAATTACTTGATGATATTGGCGACTCATGACAGGAAAGTTGTCTAAATTTCCCCCCAAGTGGTGCCCTCACTAGAAAGAAGATGGTAATGATCAGGTGTCTTGGCTTGTTCTGGTGATTGGTGGTTGCATAATCTTGATTTTCATATCTCTATTTCTCCCTTATTTTCAAGATTTTTTCACCATAACCTTGATTTGCTAGTTGAGCTTGGAAGCTTCCAGTTTCAGATGAAAATCACTTGTTTTTTTCCAAGGCCATTAATCCCCTTTTTTTCAGTTTCAGTTTCAGAGTAATAATCTTATACTAGAGAGAAACTGAACCGACAAGAGATATTATTCGTCCTCGTCGGTTTACTGCAGTCCAGTACTGTTGGAAATAACTTTACCTTTTCACGTGATGCTCCAGTGCCAATAATTGATGTGCTACAGTAGTCAAATGTTTTTTTTTTCCTTGTAGTTCCAATGATATTCTCATTTTTTTCCCCTTGTTTCAGGTAACAAGAAGAAGTCGATTGTTCGTCCGTGAGCTGTCGTTTTCGTTATCTTTATTCACGAATTTGCTGCACCGATCAAACCTGATGGTATTTTGATTCGAGAGGTAACCGGCCAAATGGCAGCGATTTGTGAACAGGAAGCAATATCTCCATCGATTGATCGGTCATGTCCCTCCTCATATACCGCACAAGATACTCCCAATTAAGAAAAGAGATGCTAATCAAGTCTCTCTGATGCTAAGAACACACAGCTAATCAATCACCATTAGATTCCAGACCAACAACAGTTTGTCAGCTGGTTATAACTCGACACAACCATATAATCCCTCTGCTAAGAATAACATTTTGTTGCATCAGAAATACTGCAATTAGCAGGATTTGAACAAACCAGCAGACAACATGTTTGTCAGCCGCGACGTTTCGTCAGTAAACTGTACTGTTGGACCTGACCTGACTGCAGGCTATTACTCTGAAATTGTTCTTCACTCAGGCCAGCACTATCATTGCCATTGGGAATCAACTCTGCACAGTTAATCTGTTTCTTCTCCCTCCTTAAGAGTAGTAGTTTTATTGATCCTTTTGCGAGGAGAGAAAAAGGTCACTGCTTTCATGATTAAGCTGATTGTGGAGATGTCTCTTTTTTCAACCATGGTGGTTAGTGTTATGCTTCGTTAAAGAGAAGGCTAGTAGTAGTTGTACGCTGCCGCCCACTGTCAGCTAGAGTCCAACACGGTCGAAAAGATCATCGAGCCACTGATGATTATACTTGCTATTTCTTTAAACTTCAGTATCTTTTCTGATCAAGAGTAATTTCAGTTAGCTTTATCATGATCATTATTGTCGTAACGTTTTTAGCTCTGCAGCTAAAAGCATGCTAGTCGGTTTGGTTGAGGCTTTTTCTTTCTTAATGAAAAGCCGTGGGGCGGTAATTCCCTAGTGCGTCGAGTTCTTGTTTTTATTTCGGCCAACACTTTTATGCCGTGCGGAGGATTATCCCCTCGTTTATTCAAAAATCATCTGTATAGTTATGAAAAAAAAATCGAAAACAAAATGGACAACATTCATACAACATACATATACAAGTCCACAAAATTTTACTAAACTCAACTCACACATCAAGAAATAAAAAGAAAAAAAAAATCCAACGTATGAACAATGCTGGTGATATTCACACTTAAAATTTGTCTTTCTTTCCCCTCTCAATTTGTAGGTCAGGTTTGAATTTATTTTTTTAGTAGATGCTTACCATACTCTAGACTATTAAAAAGATTTAGAATTCTTTTAAAACCATTTGTACTGAATTTAAGAGAAAAATGTATCACGAGGGAATATCCTGGAGGGATTATAATTCATCTCCTTATTATTTAGCACTTTTTTTTATCTACAGAGTTGAAAGGACATGGCATCACAATTACTTTCATCTTTCATGCTCAGCCTCAGACGTCTAATTGGCTAGTATACTAGCTTGTTAGGTGCAAAGTCAAGCAAGAGAATTTCAACTGTGGCGGTGTTTAATTCTCTTTAAACTTCTAAAAATTCCGTCACATCAAATGTTTAAATGTGGACAAAAAAAAAATAATTGCACAGTTTGTATGTAAATTGCGAAACGAATCTTGTGAGTCTAATTACGCCATGATTTGACAATGTTGTGCTACAGTAAACATGTGCTAATGATGTATTAATTAGATTTAATAGATTCATCTCGCAGTTTATATGTGGAATCTATATATTTTGTTATTAATCTATATTTAATACTTAATACTTTTGTCCGTGTATGTAAAAAAATTTTGACCAAACAACTGAACACGGCCTGTATATGTAACCAAAGAAAGATCAAAGGAGAGGAGGTAGCTACTCCTACAAAGAAAGAAGAAACGATGAGATTTGATTGCCTACTACTCCAGCTAGCTAGTATACAGTACTCATACGTGTCTATCCATATTCCTGCTCCCAATGCAAAAATGCAATGGCGAGATTGCAAGGTTGTGTGGGTGGTGGACCCTGGATCGATCACCTCCATTCTTTCTCCGCATCTCGCCACAGTACGCTTCGCTGCTCTCCCGCCTATATATACCACCTCCTCCTCGATCATCAGTTCATCAGCAACCAAAGCAAGAAGCAATTCTTGAGCTCAATCAGCAACAACATCTATCTCCTTCTTGCTTAGTTAAGTCCTTCGCCCTCCCAAGAAGAAGAAGATGTCTTGCTGCGGCGGCAACTGCGGCTGCGGCAGCGGCTGCCAGTGCGGCGGCGGCTGCGGCGGGTAATTAACTAACTAACTAACCAACTGCTAATTAATTCACTCAAGAAACCATTGTGACACGCACAGATCGATAACTGATCAATATTAACATTAATATGCATGGATGCAGATGCAAGATGTTCCCTGATGTGGAGGCCACAGCCACCACCAAGACCTTCGTCCTCGCTGCTCCATCCAACAAGGCGTAAGTTTCATCATTAATGCTAATTAATTGATCTGTCATTCCTGTGTGTGTTCATCATTAGTGTTAATTAATTGATTGATCTGCCATTCCGAAACAAAATTGTGCTGGATTACAGGAGCTCTGGAGGAATGGAGATGGCGGTGGAGAGCGGCGAGAACGGCGGCTGCGGCTGCAACACCTGCAAGTGTGGCACCAGCTGCAGCGGCTGCTCCTGCTGCTCCTGCAACTGAATCTATCGTCGTCGTCGCCCGGCTGCATGAGGATTTATCGTATGGATGCTGCTACTGTCGATCAGAGCTTTGATCGAGGCCTTAATTTGCTTGCATTAGTACCCAGCTTATATGTAGGCAGGCCTTGCCTTTTGCTCTGACGCCTAAATAAAACCGTCGTCGTCGTTGTCAGTGTGTGCGTGTGTCGATCAATGTTGGATGGATCCCTAGCTAGCTTGGATGGATCATCTATCATCATGGTGATCTCATCATGTACTCCTGCTCCATCTCCTCATGCGTGCCAGGCTTCTTAATATAATCTACCTCTGCTTTCATCCCATTTCTCTTACTGCTTACTGCCCTTGTTTAATTTCCCTTTGGTTCTAATTACCACGAGGAAATTGTTGTTTTTTCACTAATGAAAACTCTGCAAAGTTAAACTGACCACAAACTAGTTAACACAGAGACTGCATCAGCTGAAAGACCTGAAAATTCAGGAACGGTAAGTCGGTAACTCTTATAACTAATGTCCAAACTGACAAGAAAACGGTCATGTTTTTTCACTGTTGAAAACTCTGCAGAGTAAACTGTCCAGAAACTAAAACAGAGTACCGCATGCATCAGCTGAAAGAAATACCTGAAAAATTAAAGCAGAAAACGTCACCATGTTAACTACTCCAAACTGATCATGTGTCTGATCATCGTGTGCAAAGAAATCTAATACTAGCTCCTTGGCTGTGTAATGTCTGAAATCTTTTCAGCACCAGGATGCAGGGACACTGAAATCAAAGCAGAGAAACTATCTAAAAATCATAACAATGGCTGCATGCCTGCATCAGCTGAAAGAACAGAAAAAAAACAGGAACAGTAGCTGAAAAGAAATTAATCATGTCTGCTAGGCTGTGCAGTGTCTGAAATCTTTCCACTACCAGGATTTCAGCAACACTGAAATCAAAGCAGAGAAAATTACAAAATACTGATACTGTATCACTGTAATAACAAAGCAAGGGCCATGACTACAACAATAGTAGTGTGATTGTGAGTACAGTGTGGTCACTGGTCAGGCAGGCTACACAGACAAAGGACTCAAGGACATGGGCCCGGCCTGCACTACTACTCTAGCTGAATGAGACGTCTCCATCTCACAGAACCGGCCCAGCCCATCACATGCATGCTATAGTGCTATACTGCACACTCAATGATTAGAAAAGATCTTGCTACTTTGTACTATGCCTCTAATATTTACATATGAAATAAAGCTGGTAAAGTAGAATAATTTTCACAGAAGATACTGCGGACTTGCTCCACCCCTTCTGGTTTGGGTGATCAAAGAATCTTGTTTTGTTATTTGTAACATCATATTAATATATTATCACTGATATATACTAGAGAGTAGAGATTAGGTTGAATTTGTGCCATTCAAACTGTTAAAAAGAAGGTGAATATGTTCTATAAGTTTTAAGGAGGCAGAAAACAAAATTGTAGTTGTTAATTCTGTCACGGTTAACATGTTAAAAATTTTGAGCAATTGTCATTTGAGACAAGACGATCTTTGAATTGGAGATGTGCCTGCAGGAAGAACAGACAAAAGGGAAAAAAAAGTTAAGGAAGAGACAGGTGATGCTCATCCAGTCTAATCATGTCTACTAAGAATCATGTCCAGGGAACAGATGAGCTAGCATCAAGTTCTCCCAAGCACCTCTCTTCCACCCAAGAGGCCAAGACAATTATGCAGATTAACTTACACACTTCATCTCTCATCTCAGAAAACAAATTTAATCAGACGCTTGAACCTAGTGAAACAAAAGATATTGCCTAGTTGCAAGGAAACATGAAGTCCCACATCTTTTCACTTATGATTATACTTATTAGCCAAAATTTGAATTTTCGACCATAAATTTAGAGTTGATTTTGGGGTTTTTTCATCAAAGTTTATTTTTCAGCCTTTGCTTTTAGATCGCTAAGAATACGTATATAAAAGTTTTATTCACAAACTACTTTTCATTTGCAAATATGCCATTTCAGTTATTCCCCCGAATAAGTGAAACGATAGGTCCGGAAAATTTCTGAAAACAAAACAAAGTCCAAGGAAAATCCTGCTACTCATCATATAATCTTTTAGATAATGGATTAAACCGGTCTCTACATCCAAACGAATGTACACAGCCAAGCTACTCATCATATACAATCCATTGATCCTCTCTTCCAGACAGAAGTTTTATTTTATTATTTTTTTTAACAAATATAAAACTAATGCATTATAAGTCCCACTGGCCAAAAGCGTAACATTACGAGGTTAAGTGTTAGACTTGGTCATACACATACAACTCGACCCAGTTAGAGCCTAGAGATGATTTCATGAATATTAACAATTATACACTTGCGTGTAATATCAAATTATGTAAAACTAATGTATGGCTCATGGATCAAGATCAAAGAAGAACATCAGGAAATTCAGCTACTAAGATTCACATATGCCTGAAAAAATACACCAACACCAAATCGGGTATGACTTGCAAGAAACAACCAGTAACTTTGTAGTATGCATCCTCCACAAGATGAATAAAATAACCACACATAAAAATTAAATCCTATTTATGAAAGTATTAAGATCGATCTACGAGTCTTTAGTCCAACTTGATGAATAGGAAATTAACAATATTGCAACTAGCGATATAATTTAATCTATTGAGCAACTGAAAAAAAAAATTAAGGGGGCTATGAGTTTGGAGTGTTATACTGTTATGTTCTGAATTGGACATTGCACGTTGTACTCTTTTCTATTTCCATGTGGTTTGTTTTGTTCAGTTTTACATATGGATATGTCATAGGGTGGAACTTCACCCCCCCTAATTTTTTAGCGGTTCTTTTCAAAAATTGTGGGGAGAGGACTGGATCTAAGAATAATTAATAGAGTGAATAAATGTATGCTTCTTGCTGTTCTATGCTGGCAATGATGGCTAAACTGAGAAATGGCATGGTTTCCAGAGATGATATAAATTGCTTTTGACCCCCATTAACTATGATGTTTTGGATAACATTTGTTATGCTATAGTGGAAAATACTACCAAAACCCGAACCCGCTGAAGCTAGGCTATCTATCTATTAAATTATTAAAGTGATAGAAAAATGAGCCTCCACGTTCACTCTCATAGCTTAGAAATTCTCATATTAATCAGAGAAAAAAACAGAGCCCACATATAAATACAATTTAGAAATAGCTAAAATTCGGAATTAAAAAATAAGGGATATTGGAATAGGAGACTAGAGTCCATGCCGGTATACAATTTAGAACTACTGGAGTTTGGAATTAAAAAAAGAATATTGAAGAAGAGTATAGAGTCCATATAGAAATACAATTTATAAATAACTGAAATTCAGAATTTAAAAATAAAGAATATTAGAAGAAGAGTATAGAGTCCATATATAGAAATAAAATTAAGAAATAATAGAAGTTCATAATTAAAAAAATAAATATTAGAAGAAGAGTATAAAGACAATATAGGAATTTAGAATTAACTAAAATTCGGAATTAAAACAATAGAATTAAAAGTAGAGTTTAGAGTCCATATAGAAATACAATTTACAAATAACTAAAATTGGAAATAAAAAAAATATGGGAATAAGAGTCCAGAATCCTTATAGGGATACAGTTTAGAACTAACTGAATTCAAAATTAGAAAATAAAGAATATTGAAAAATGAGTTTAGAGTCCACATAGAAATACATTAGAAATAAGAAAATTTCAGAATTAAAATAAATAATATTGGAAGAAGAACCTAGAGTCTATATAGAAATACAATTTACAAATAATGAAAATTCAAAATTAAAAAAATAAGGAATATTTGCGAGTCAAGAGTCCATATAGGAACAATTTAAAAATAACTAAAATTTAATATTAAAATAATTAATAATTATCACGTATATACAATACAATATGAATATTATACATTAGTAGTTTGGTAAAGTTAGTACAAAATTTAAAATTATATTGTCATTTTAATAATAAATTGAATATATATATATATATATATATATATATATATATATATATATATATATATATATATATATATATAGGACACTCATATGGGGCACCATGGTGCCCGGGCACCATGGTATGAAATACACAAATTCGCCCAAATTTTTCAAAATTTTCAAATTGTGAGTATATACCTACTTATAAGTATTCGATTCATACCTATACCTAGCAACAAAACAACTCAAATTTAACTTTATTTTATAATTCATTATTACATACCTAACTAATTATATGTTTGGATGCTATATACCTAGAATCAAAATCTAACAAAAGCAAGTTTGAATTCAGTTCAAACTTGCTTTGAACTAGTTAGTAAAGTAGTTAACGTTAATACCTAAATATTTGAAAAAGTTTCATACTCATTTGAATTAGGTATATAGTAAATTTCAATCATGGTGCCCGGGCACCATGGAGCACCAAACAAATTTACTATATATATATATATATATATATATATATATATATATATATATATATATATATATATATATATATATATATATATATATATATATATATATGCTATTATATGAGAGAAAATATAATAATGTTAGCCATGCAATCTGTGCAGACTACCATGCTAGTTAGAGATGATGGTGGCATCCCTGCATGAAGCCATGGACAAGCTTAGACCCTCATGTACATGGGCTGGATGATTGATCTCCTTTTGACACGTGGCCCGGGGAGTTTGGCCCATGTTCTGGTAGGGGAGGTAATGAGGATTATTCTTTAGAACAATTCAGATTATATTAACTGTTAGGTGCTTTACTTATGTTATTTTGTTATGTTAAGCTGGTAATCCCAACAGAAAATCATGGGTACCTATGTCGCTTTTCTATAAAAGCTGGGTCATTCGGCCTTTGGTCTAGGAGAAAAAAGAAGAGTGGGTTGTTATACACATACAACTCCACCCTAGCTAGAAATGATTTCATGAATAATTAACAATTATGTACTTGTGTGCAATATTAAATTAAAGAAAACTAATGAATGTGTCATAGATGATGGATCAAGATCAATAACGTACGTACCTTGGCTATTAAGATTCACCGATGCCTACCAAAGAAAAAAAATCACCAAATATATGCCAAATCGGGTATGACTTGCAAGAAACAACCAGTAACAATGTGATATACATCCTCCCACTTGATGTATAAAATATATAAAATAACCACACGCAGAAACTAAATCCTATTTATGAAAGCACTAGGATATACGATTCTCCAATCCAACTCAACATCATAGGAAAGTATATTACAACTAGCAATTTATATAGATGATGCATGTTACAGACTAAGATC